CTGCAGGCGGGTCGGCGCCCGGGCACACGCGTGTGTGCTCCGGCGTGTGCGTGGCTGGCCATCAGAGGCTCTGCACCGCCGCCTGCAGGCCTAGTACGTGCAGGGCCAGGCAGAGTAGGCCGAGCAGCAGCAGCAGACCTAGCAGCATCCGCAGGAGTGTCGGCGCCGGTGAGCCTCTGGGCTGCCGGCTCGTGGACTGCAAGTATCGCTCCACTGAGTCGGCGAAGCTGAACTTGTCCGGCGCATAGCCCAGCTGAGCTCGGGCCTTTGTGATCTGGAAGGTGTGCGTCACGGCCACGGACTGCACCTGCGGGAGAGGCGGGGGGGCCGCGGGGCGGGGGAGGGGGGGGGGTGCGGGAGAGGCGGGGCAGCCGAGGGCCGGGCTAGCGGAGGGGCGGGCATCCCCGGCGCCGTTATGTAGAGACTGGAGCGGGCAAAGACTACTGCTCCGTCACTCGGAGAGGTGAAAGAACTGGGCTGCTGCGCCTCGCTTCCGCTTCCGCGGTGCCCTGTCAGGGGGACTTCCTACTTCCCTCCTCTCGCATCGCCATCGCCCTGGAGGGCACCTCCAGGATGACTTGTGTATCTCTCCAGGCCCGCTGAAAGTACACTGTGTACATAAAACCTCTCATCCCTAAGAAGCAAAGGCCCCACCTCTGCACTTCCTGGCCCTGCTGGGTGAGGGAGGACCTCAGGAGGCCCTGGATCCGCTTTCTTAGATATTCACCAGAAGGAAAGAAACTCAACGCTTCTCCTGTGGTCTGGGTGTGGCTCCCCGGGAAAATTATCAGACCAACTGCAATGGGTGGGCCTCAGGCACAGCCTTCAGGCCCTGCTGGCTGTCTAACTAAGCGTCCCTAAGAGAGGGTTCTCTCCAAAGTCTGAGTTGGATTTCCCTGCTACCAGATGGCTGGGCCTACTGGGTTCCAGGATTCGAATAAGGACCGCTGTCAGTTGTGGACCACATACTCTGTTTGACCCTGGCTAAATCCTTTGCATTTCTCACATCATTTTGTCTGGAAATAGCACTATTTCCTCTTTGCATATTTGCAAATTGAAGATCAGAGAGGTTAACGACTTGCTGGAAGTCACACAGGGTCACATGCTAGACCTGTGTTCTCTGCTGTGCTGAAACCTGAGGATACAGTCCAACCTGACTCTTTCTTCCCCTCTGTCTCTCAGATGAACCCTGGGGAATGCAGAAGCAGGCTTGTTCTAACTGAGTTGGAGATATGCACATCGAGCACCCATTACGGGGGGAGACAGCCTGAGCCAGATCCCCAGGTGCTGGCACAGTGTTCTTAGAGACCAGGCTTACATGTAACCTTCTCCCAGACTTCCTCAGAGCTGGTCCCTTCCAGCTTCGAAGTGCCTCACAGCTCCCTGTGTAGTTATCATAGTTATTGCATTGCCTTCCCCTTTAGACTTGAGATTCTGGGGGTAAGGACCCAAGTCATCTTATCTCTATTACTTGGCATATAGTAGGTGCTTGATAAGCTATGTGATCAGCTATAAAAACAGCCTACAGGCCCGGTTGGTGTGCTTCAGGCTGACCAGCAAGGGGCGCACTTGTCACAGCCCCCAAAAACTTCCCCAGCTAAAGATCCTTTAGCCCCGGAGCTGAACAAGGAAATTCACAAACTAGACAAGAGGGTCAAGTCCTGCCTGACCAATTCAGCAGCATCTTGGCAGCTATTTTGCACTGATGGGATTCCTGCTGTATTTTAGAAGCTCCTGGCTGAGTATGGAATCATTTAGGGGTGGGTTTGGATCCCAGGACCACCTGAGGGGCTGCGGGCAGGTTATTTCACTGTGTCTTATGTCCTCTTCTGTAATAAACACGATAACAGAGTCTATAACTCAGAGTAGCAGTGGAGATGAAGTGGCATTAAAGGGCTGGGCCTAGCATATCCCCACTGGAAGAGGTCACCATTGTCATTATTCCCTACTGTCTGCGTGGCTCAGAGGTGAAATTGTGTGACCCCTCCCACTACCCCCTTAGGGAGCACTGCCTTTGGAATCTCAGCCTAGTCCCAGTACAGTATCACCTTAGACAAGTGACCAATGTCTCTCACGCTCAGTTTCTCTTCATAAAGAGGAGATCATAATATTTTTGCCTTTCCTTATTTAGCAGGGTATCAGAGAGAACAGAAGAGTGGACTGGAAAGGCTTTTGCAAATAACTCCAGACACTACCTACTGCTTTACTGTTTATACTCTGCATTAAAACATCCTCTCTTTGGGCTGGGGATTTTAGCTCAGTGGTGCCGCATCTGCCTGGCAAGTGCAAGGTTCTTCCTGAGAGTTTGGTTCCTGGTTCTGAGAAGAAAAAAAAAATCTTGTCTTTCCACTGTTCGTGCTAAACAAAATATAAAACTGCATCACAGCTGTGAAAATAGTAAGCGGGAACTATGAGCCTAGAATCGCCAAGCTTTGTGGGCACATGTGTGTGTCCTGAGGCCTGATTATGAAGATCACAGAGGCTAAGCTGGAACAGCAACTCAGAGGACAGAGGCTTGGAGCTGTCACATTTCAGACCCAGGCCACACAGCCTGAGCCAAAGCCAGGAAGTTGGGAGGATTGTAAAGGAGCTGGCACTGGTCAGGGCCTGCCTGGAAGGTCCTGAGACCACAGATAAAGGGGTGACAGGGCAGTGGGGGCTAAAGACAGGCAAGGAGGGAAGGGAGAGGCCCGGAGCCCACTTACCTCACTGCGGGTAAGCAGCAGGGGGAGGCTGCCGAGGGGCCTCAGGGCCAGGTGCAGATGCTCCATCACTGCGGCTGCAGGAGAGGGGGAGGGACGCGGATCTCACTTTGCGCAGACTTTGGGAGGCCTCGGGGACAAGCTAACTGGGGGCGTTATTTGCTTTCCTAGGGGCCCAAGCTAACTGGGGGCGTTATTTGCTTTCCTAGGGGCCCCTCGGAGAATGTTGTTGGATTCCTTTAAACCAACAGTGCTGGGGTGCCTGACCAGCTGGGAAGCAGCAGATCCATGAGCACTGGGTTACTACAGTAAGAGTTCAGGCCTCGTCAGTCCATCCAGCCAGATGCGAAGTTCCCGTCCTAAGTCCTGCTCCTACTCTTCTGCTGTGCTCTCTCAGGAAGGACAGAGTTCCAGCCGTGCCTCTTGCCCTGGGCTGCACACTGTGTGCTTTAAGAACTACTGATGTTTCCTTCCCATCCCCGCCTGGTCACTGGGGGTGTGCCCCGGGCTGTTATTTCTCTTTTCTAGTTTCAAAGCTCCAGGTGAGGCTAATGTGCGATCCAGGTGGAGATTGCTGAGTTATAGGCAGTGTGCTGGGAACTTGGAATGTATGTGCTGTCCCTGCAGACACCGGCCCGGTGGCCGAGAGCCAGGCACATCCTTTATCACACAGTGGTGATGCTGTGCAGAGAAGCCCAGGGAACAAGTGTACAAACCTTGCTTTTTTTTTTTTTAGTTCGAACTCAGGACCTTACTCTTGTGAGGCAGGTGCGGCACCACTGAGCAAAATCCCCGGCCCAGTAAATCTTGTTGTCAATGGCCAGAGCCCAGTGTGTTTGAAATAGAGCACATCTGCTCAGAGGTAGGCCAGGAGCACAGACACTGAGGGCCACCTGTCATGCCAGATGCCTACTGGAGGCCAGGGCTGGGGGTGAGAATAGAGGACAGCAGCAGGGACACAGTTGTGGGCATGGGGGCAGATGCTGACCTTCAGGGTGAGGAAGGTCATCTGGGGTTACAGTGGAGCCTTGGTGTCCCGAAGCAGCCCTGACTTCAGGATGACCCTGGGGGACAGGGCACCCAGGGCCCCTTCTCCTCTTGCCTGGCATGACGCCTGCCAGCACAGGACACAGGGAGCCAGCTGCTGCCTCTCCCACTTTCTCACTGCGGCCCTGCAGGCAGGACACTCATGCCTCTGAGTCTGTACAATGGGCCAATCATGCAGGTCTTCTGAGTGGATCCGGGCTCAAACAAGGACCAGGACTGTGTGCAGGGGTGGCTCACCTGTGGTGCTAAGCTTGGAGGTACATGCTCCTTTGAGTGCAGGGTAGGGCTGGGCAATGCCTAGTCCTAGCACTGGGTTTCACATGCAGTAAAGCATGCCTGAGTATATACAGTACCTTCCACATGGTGGGCTTTAAGACACACGTGCCTCTCCTTACCTGTCAGGTAAACCCATGAAGTAGGTATCTGGACCCAGGGCTGGCTGTGTCCCAGTTTCTCAAACTGGAAGGGAATATGGTCTGAGATGAGAACAGATTGCTCAGGGGCTGGTGTGGAAAAAACACTGCTCTCTGTGACCCACACTGGCCGAGGACCCCCCGCTAGCCCACAGGAGCAGAGCCCGAAACCACTCCCACATCCCCACCAGTCTTCAAATTTACTCCTTGTTCTGGACAACTTGAGTAGGAATGGAGTGCCTGGGTGGTTTTAACCTGGGCCCGTTCACATCTTTGATTATTATTTATATCTGCCCACACCTAAAGACACTCTCAGGCACTTACCTCAGGCCTGATTTTTCTAGAATTGACTTTTCTATTAAAGGGAAACATTAGCAAGAATGAGAAAGTGGTACAAGATGCATGAAGGGCAGGCTGGCACGGGTTGAACTGAGCTCCTCATTGGCGTAAAACCTCTCCAGGTCAGAAGGCAGATCACAACAAGGGCTGGCAGGATGAGGAGAAACTAGAGCCTCTCACACTGCTGGGGACAGCAAAATACTGCAGTTCCTTCAGAAAAGTTTGGGGGCCAGGGATGTAGCTCAGTGGCACCACGCCTGCCTCGCAAGCGGAAGGTCCTGAGTTCGATCCCCCATACCAAAAAAACAAAACACAAGAGTTTGGTAGTTCCTCTAAAAATGGTTACAGAGTTACCTGCAACCCAGCAATCCTCTGAGGTATGTATCCAAGAGAACAGAAACACTGGGCCACACAAATGTACAGTGTACACAAGTGTTCACCTGTGCTATTCACAGCAGCCCCAAAGTGCAGAACCCAAATTTCCATCAACTGATGAACAGATAAAACAGTAGGTGATATAGCCATGGAATGGAATATTCCTGGCAATAAAAAGGAATGAAATACCAGCATGAGACACACAACACAGGTCAAACTTGAAAACTAAGGGAAAACTATGGCCAACACACAAGGTCATACGTTGCATGTTTCCATTTACAGGAAATGTCCAGAAAAACGAAATCTACAGAGGCAGACAGCTTTGTGCTTTCTTAGGGTTGGGTTACTAACTGCTGACAGGTACAGGTTTGTTTTGTTTTTTCAGGATGATGACTTGCTTTAAAATTAATGATGGTAGGCCCAGGATTTAGCTCAGTGGTTCCGCCGCCTGCCTCACAAGTACAAGGTCCCGAGTTCGATCCCCAGTACCAAAATAAATAAACAAATAAAATAAAATAAATGATGGTGATAGTTTGACAACTCTGAATAAACTAACTTGTATGCTTTAAATACTTGAATTGCATGGTTTGTGAGTTATATCCCCATAAACTCGTGATTTAAACAAAACAAACCCAAACCTCTGTGCAGAAGGCTGTCAGAGCTGAAAGACTAAAAATTTCCTGCTGGCTCTGTCAGGCTGACTTTGCCCATGTGGAAGGCGACTTTGAGGAGAGAATGTGTGAGCTCCGGGAGGAGGCCTCCAGCCCAGCATTTCTGCTCTGCCCCTTCAAGGCAGGCCTGGGTCTCCAGAGGAGTCCGTGGGCTACGAAGATAGGAGGCCAGAGTTCTCCCCCAGAAGCCCAGGCCCAAACACCGTCCTCTGCGCTTTGGGAACCTTCTTCAGACCTCCACACTCAGGTTGGTGGATCAAAAGCAAAAGCCCACAGGGCTGGGAACGAAGTTCAAGGGCAGAGCACTTGCTCAGCATTACTTGTTTAGCATAGGCAAGACCTGGGGCTCCCTCCCTCCCTCCCATGGCAAATCAAACAGCAAAACAACAACAGAAAGCCCAGAGGGTGGGAAGAAGCCAACACAGATCTGGAAGCAGGTAGTTCTGACGTGAGATCTCTGACTGTCTGGAAGCAGGGAAGGGTGTGTGGGGAGATGACGGGGTTCCCGACACCTACCAGTGGGGCCATCCACTCAAAGAGGTTGACACTGTCCCCATCGTTGATGTAGTAGGCCTGGCCACTCTGAGGGGGACACAAGGGAAGGACAGTGAGATGACTGCCCGCCAGCCTGACCCCACCCACTGAGGGCTCCAACCCCTTCATCCTCTCAAGCAGCCCCTTGGGACAGGACAGGCCGCTGTCCCTTTGGGAGCCACCAAACTGACAAACACGTGACCCAGATGGTCACAAGCTTTCTGTACCCCAGTTTCTTCATCTGAGAAACGGGAAGGTAATAATGGACTCTCCCTCTGGGCCGTTATGAAGAATATGTGTGTGTATGTGTGTGTGTGTGTGTGTGTGTGTGCATGCACTAGTATTTGGTGGCTGTTATTTGTGAACACACCAACCTAGCACCACGAAGAGCTAATGATGATTTCTTAAGATGCCTCCACCCTCACCAGGGCCCTCGGGCTGACAATCTGCCAGCATCCGAGGGGAGCAGAAGTGTTGGTGGGGGCCGGGACACCCCTGGAGACGGGGCCACTGGCCGTGGGAGACTCACAGCCACGTAGCCCTTGGCTGCGGTGAGGGCCTCTGCCGCCAACACGTGTGCCTGCACCAGATTGCGCACATGGACCCAGTTCATCTTTGCCCTTTGGTCCCCAAACCGGAACACGAACAGCCTCTTCTTGATGTGGCTCTGGTGACGGGAGAGGGGCAATACATGCAGAGAGAAGCTGGGGATGGCTTTACACCGCTCTGTACGCTCTTGTGGTCTGGCTCCAGGCTAGGCCTTTGCCTTCCCTAGCTGTATCTGGCGTCCTCCCGCCATCTCTACTCGGTCATCTGATACCTCAGGGCCACTGTCCATGTTCCCACCTCTGTGCCCATCCACACACAAGTCACTTGCAAATCCAGTTGCCCCAAATACTAACATATGTCTGGAATCCCTCACCTCCTGCCCCACTGACTGCCACCCTCATCTCTTGCCTGGACACCACAGCACTACCGTAATCACTCCCCACCTGTCCAGGGGTCCCCATCCTGCTGAAGCGCTGACAATGGCCGGGACGCCCTTCCTGGCCAGGCCCTGCTGCTCTGTGGCTTTGTTTCCCACTGATGCCCCTCATGTGCTCAGTCTGCCACAGCCACTCAGCTCAGCCGCCTAGCGGTTCCTAGACCACCTCATCGGCCAGTATACTTGTAACCACACTTGTCTACTGTCCACTACTGAGCTCCCCAGGTGAGAAGGGAAGCCCCTTTTTGAGCTCATAGTAAGAGTTCAATAAACATCTGCTGCATGAATAAATGGGGGACAGTCACGGAGGTTGACCCCTACCTTCCCTGAGAGCTTGGCCAAATTTAAAAATAAAAAATAGACATAAGGCCCTGGTGGAGGAATATTTTTAAACTGCAAACCAGGGCAGCACTCCCCTGATGACTTTCCATGGCTCCTTATGACCTTGTGCTCCCAGATCAGATTCAGCCACGGGGACCTCTTGCTCCTTCCTATGCTGACCAAGAACACTCGCCCACGCCATCTCCTCTATGTGGCCTATCTTCTCTCTGGCACCCCAGGTCCCTTCTGCTTGTTGCTAACAGCGTAGATGCATCACCTCCTCAGGAAGACCCTCGATGCCGCCCTCACCACAATGGAGTGGAGATAGCATTTCGTCTCCCGGATGGGATGTGGGAAATGCGAGGGCAAGGCCTGGAGCCCTGCATAGCTAGGTTCCCAGCACCCTGCTTTTTTTTTTGGTGCTGGGTATTGAACTTGGGTCCTTGAGGCAGGCGGCAGAACCTCTGGGCTAAATCCCTGGCACTAACCCTGCTTTTTTTAGGGAGATGTTTTCTGGAGACCCTTGTGTGACAAGAGCCCCAGCTCTCAGGAAGCCCAAGCAGGAATGGAGGTGACAGAGTCTGTCTGTCTCCCTGGGGTAACAGCCTCCTGTCCGCTCACGGCGCAGGGCCCGGCTGGCCCACACCAAGAGCTCTGTTCCTGGTAGGCCTGAGGGGGTCCACAAACTGCTGGGGACAGCGATGACTGAGGTCTTAGCCTCAGGAAACCCTGCCTGCAGACCAGTGCGGTCACCATGGGCTGGGGAGGTCTGAACAGTGTGCACATCCGTCAGGCTCCCTCTGCCTCAGGTCCCGGAAGGCTGGGACAACATACCGCGATGCGGGGCAGGTGCTTCTGCTCTCCGGGGCCGTAAATCCCCGGGGGCCGGAGGACACACGTCCGAAGGGTCCCTCCTCCTAGGACACAAGCGGAATAGTCAGGGGCCGGGAGAGGAGCATCCCCGGCAGGGAGAGGGAGCGCAAGGTCATCTGTACCTTCTGGCCCTTATGGGTGTGGGAAGCCCAGTGCAGGCCATGCTCTGCTGCTGGCATCCCACTTCCTCTGGGGAGCCTCTCCCTCCCTTGCTGCCCAAGGTGCTGGGGGTCTGGCCATTGAGATGGAGGCCATGGGATGCTCTTACCCAGGAGTGACTCTGGGGATCATTGACACCGGGACCCAAAATCCTAGGAGAGCATTTTCTAAGGAGACTGGTCGTCAGCTCTGGCCACCAGGTCCCTTGAGTGGCCCCAACACTGGTGGTCCTATTTCTGGAAGTCTGTTTTCCAGAAGCTACACCACATCCTTCTCATGTAAGTTCCTTTCTTCTAAGAAATAAGCCAGGGATGGCGTCTCCACGTTGTAATAAATCACCAGACAGCTGGGTACACCTCTTACCACTCTCACTTCACAACGAGGCTCGGCGCAGTGGGGAAAATGGTACCCCCCAAACGTGTTTCTATTCCAGAACCTATGGATGTTGATCTTATTTGGAAAAAGCCTCTTCATGGCTGTATTAGATGAGATCGTTCAGCGGGGCCTTACATCCAGTGACAAGCGTCCTTATACAGGCTTGGAAGAGGCAGAGGACAGGAAAGAACATGGGAAGAGGAGGCAGCGAGTGCAGGTCTGAAGGCCCAGGCCCAAGAACGCCTGGTGCCAGAAGCTGGAAGAGATAAGAAAGAGTGCCCCCCCCAAGAGGGAAGCCCCCCCGCAAGAGGGAAGCAGCCCAAAGGACATCTCAAGGCCAGGATTCTGCTTCCCGGTGGAGAGAAGAAATTTCTGTTGTTTTAAACCACCACATATGTGGTGGCCATAGGACACTCGCACACAGAACACAACCACGCTGGCTGCAACCAGGACTGGGGACCTCTCCTGTGGGTTCCAAGTTAGAGGGGCTGCCCCAGGGGCCAGCCTGGGTCCCAGGGAGTGGAAATCACCCCAGATGACCATGCTGAACTCCTGGAAGGCAGGTATCAGGTGAGCACCCCTGAAAACAGCTCGCAGCTACGTGTGAATTCTGGGTCTGTGGAGCATGGTGGAGGGGAATCAGGTTGCCGCTGACAGCGGCTGGCCGGGCATTGGGCAGCCACGTCACAGAGGGGCTGGGCCCAGGGTATTCGTGACTGTCCTGGCCATGGAAAGCTGAGGATGCTCATATAAATAATTCTCAGCCAGAGGATTAGGTGTCTAGCATGCAGGCTGTGACCTGGCCCGGCTGGGGAGGTTCCAGGCAGAGAAGGGACATCAACCGCACATTGTCAAAACCTGGGGAAAATACAACTGCATGTTCCCACTGGGGCGGGGGGTCAAGGTCTGCCTGACCCAGGATGATGGGGGTGAGGGGCATTTTTGGGAAAAGAGCCCATACTCAGAGACCTACAGTTTAGCACAGTGGTTCATTTAGGCTCTGGTGGTGAACGCCCCTGGGGTTCAAATCCCACCTCTGCCACCTAATAGCTACGTGACCTTGGGTTACTAGGTCAGTTAATCCCTCTTGGTTCTCTCACCTGCAAACTGGGGGCTTATAATTTCAAACATCCCTCACTCTCCAAGTCCACTTGGCTCCCAAAGTCAGATGGTTTTGATAATAAAGGGAAACCCAGTCGTCTGATTCTTTTCACTTTCTGAATTTCAGAAAGAAAGTAGTGATAATTTAGATAGCAAGAAATTTATCTGGGTGAATTTAGCTCCGGAGTTTAGAAGGCCAGGGGTACTGAAGGTATCTCTCATGGGTATGCTGTGAAGAAGTTTTGTATAAAACTAGCATGCAAAGTTGGGCCTGGCATGAAGTAAGCGCTCAATAAATGTGGATTGTTCGTACTCTGTGATTACTTTTCTGTAATGTAATCACAAGGGATAAGACAGGAAGGCCGGGGATTTAGCTCAGTGATTCCACCGCCGGCCTTGCAAGTGCAAGGACCTGAGTTCGATCCCTGGTACCAAAAAAAAAGAAAAAAGAAAAGAAAGAGACTGGAAGGGAGTTGGGCCAATTTTTCTGGAAAACTATTAGAGGTTAGGCTTTAAGCTCCCTCACTCTATAGTCCTTCCAAAGTGCTGCAGTTTTGTCCATATTCACATTGCTCTACTCTTCTGTTTGAGGAGGGCCCCTACAACTGGGTCCGTAGACTTGGGTCAGACTTGGTCTCTTCCCACCAAACCATGAGCCACATTGGGGTAGAGACCTGGCCTGCCAGACCCAGTCTGCCTCCTTGGCAGGTGAGAGATTTAGCAGGTGTTCAGAGATTGGAACAATGAGTGGCTAAGGCCCCCGGGAGCTGTCCCTTAGAAGGAAGCTGGGCCTCTGATGCTTACTGGCTAAAAACTAGAATCACCATATATTTGGTGGGAGGCAGCAGGGGGCAGGCAGGTTGCTGCCCCGCAGTGGGGCCCCATGGTACGCACCTGGGAGAGGAGTCCCGTTAGCCAGGAGGGTCAGCTGGTCGGCAACGGCTTTGGTTCGGGAGTAGTGGTCCGTGTGCTAGCAGAGGACAGGGAGAGCCACCAGCCAGCGCTTAGCAGGGCCGAGGGCAACTCTGCCCCGACCCAGCCTGGCCCAGGGCTACCCGTTCCCCTCAGAACATGTGCATGTGGGTTCTGGGGTCTCCTGCTGCAATAGAGCCAAGCCCTGTACCCCACAGCCTGCCCTCACACCCTCGGTGGGAGGACAGGGAGTCTCAGTCCAGAGTCACAGGAGAGAGGGGCCCGGGGCGAGGAGCAGTGTGAGGCCTTGACTCAGGGAGGGTCCTGCCAGCCCCCCGTGCCTGTCCTGTGAAGCTGCTGCTGGACCCAATGTCCCACGGTGTTTTCACACACATCATCTCATTTCCTGCTCGCCCCAACCCCTGGCAAGGGCACTGTCAAGGCCAGTGATTAAATGGAGCTGCAGAGAGGCGCAGTTATTTGCTCAGGGCCACATAGCTCAAAAACTCAGAAAGGCTGGGGTTTGCGTCAGGTCCGTGACCAGGCACAAGGTGAGACAGACGTAGACAGGCACCCCCCAGTTTGGGGGTCCTTTCCTGCTGGGGCTCACCCTGAGTTCCGAGGTAGACCCTGGTCCTGCCCACCCCTACCCTTTGGGCTGTGGCTCCGGGCCTGCTGGCCACGCCCACCTGTCCCAGGAGCCGGTACCTTGTCCAGTGGGAAGTAGGGCACAGAGTCCTCGTCACCCTGCTCTACAGGCTTCCCGCCAAATGCCACATTGACGGTGCTGGTGTAGACGAGCCTCGGAACCCGCCGGCGGACACAGGCTGTAGCAACAGGCGCGCACGGCGGCATGCACACGTGTGCACACGCAGGCACACACACACAGGGCTCAGAAGGTGCCAACCAGCTATCTCTCTATGGTCTGCAACACACGCCCCCGCCCCCCAGGATGCATCCTGCCGGGGGAGGGAATGCTCCCCCTAACCTGGGGTGTGGCTTGAGTCCCTGAGCCATGGACCCCGGGGACCAGGCCTGCTCATTTTCCCTTCCCAGGGTGGCTCTGACCTCTGAGCTACCCTGCCAGGTACAGGCCAGAAGAAGGTCTCACTCAGTGGGACTAGAAACAGGCAACAATCTAGGATCTGAGAGAACAGTGCAGGACAAGGCAGGACAAACCCAGAGGGCCCAGAGAGGGACTCCTATGTGGTGCCCGAGAGACTTTTCTTCCTGTCTCTCTAAGCGCTGAGTGCCCACTGCACTCCCCACCTTCCCAGTCACACTGAGCCACCCTGGTGAGCAGGTGCAGGACCAGGCAGGTCCACACAGGGGAGGGATGCATGGCCCACAGCTGGGGCAGGCATGGCCAGGGCAGGAGAGGGACAGAAGAAGCACACACAGCCAGTCACCCTCGGGTCACACCGAAACCTACCGTCGATCACCAGTTTGGTGCCTCCGACATTTATAGATTCAATCTGCTCTTTTTGCAGCTAAAAGACAAATGGAGGAAGGAAGCCATGATGCTGTCATTGCCTGGTCACTGAGGTCAGAGGCCGGGCATTGGCTCAGGCAGGGCAGGGGGTGGCAGAATGCCCAGCTCAGAGGAGGGGATGCCGAGACCCCTGCTGGCTGCAAGGGTTCCCAGCACTGCCACGCCTGGCCCTCAGCTGCCTTGGCTGTTGGCAAAGGGAGGCCTGAGCCCTGGGTGGTCGGCAAGATTAAATGAGACATCTGGGACGTGTACCAGGGCTTGGCCCAGAAGTGAGACCAGAGCTATTAAATCATTCTCCTGCTTTCAAGGGTCTTGTAAGACAGACACAGTGAAACTGTGAGACCTGCTCTGGCAAGGGGACTCGGGTGTAAAAACCAGCCCAAGAGTGTCTGACCCTGGTCTCATTCAATCCTTACAACACCACAGAGAGATGGGCCACTTATCTATTTATTCAGGCCTGAGGACTGAACTCAGGGTCTCCACACTGAACTACACCCCTAGCCCTTTTTTTATTTTTCGAGACAGTGTCTCGTTCATTCACTAAGCTTTCCCAGCTCAGAGGAGGGGATGCCGAGACCCCTGCTGGCTGCAAGGGTTCCCAGCACTGCCACGCCTGGCCCTCAGCTGCCTTGGCTGTTGGCAAAGGGAGGCCTGAGCCCTGGGTGGTCGGCAAGATTAAATGAGACATCTGGGACGTGTACCAGGGCTTGGCCCAGAAGTGAGACCAGAGCTATTAAATCATTCTCCTGCTTTCAAGGGTCTTGTAAGACAGACACAGTGAAACTGTGAGACCTGCTCTGGCAAGGGGACTCGGGTGTAAAAACCAGCCCAAGAGTGTCTGACCCTGGTCTCATTCAATCCTTACAACACCACGGAGAGATGGGCCACTTATCTATTTATTCAGGCCTGAGGACTGAACTCAGGGTCTCCACACTGAACTACGCCCCTAGCCCTTTTTTATTTTTCGAGACAGCGTCTCGTTCAGTCACTAAGCTGCCCAGTCTGGCTCAAACTTGAAATCCTCCTGCCTCAGCCTTCCCAAGTGCTAGGATCACAGGCATAGGCAGACATGCCTGGCTTTTATGTTTATTTTTTAAACTATATTTATTCTCATTGTAGTGCTTTTTGTTTAATAGGTAATATGGCTACAGGTTAAAAATAATTCAAACAATATATGTTATCTGGTGAAGAGGAAATTTCCCTCCCACTCCCAACTCGGTCTTCCTTTTCCTTCCACAGAGGCAACCACTGCTACCAGTGCATTTTCAGAGATGATGTATACTTGTTCTAGCAGCCCAGGGATGGAGTGCATGCTCAGCATGTGTGAGGCCTTGAGTTCCATCCCCAGCACCAAAAAGAAAGAAATACAACCAGCACACGGGCCCCTGTGAGTACAGTACATAGGTGATCGTGCCCTCCCTTTTTCTTAAAAACAAAAACAAAATGGAAGGACACCAAACACTGTTTGGTATCTCGAAGATTGCTGTTATCAACCTGTGTTGATTCACCTTTCAATTTATTTAAATAGTCCCCAAATGATGGCCATTTAGGTTATTTTTGGTGTTTTGTTATTAAAAGTGATGTCATGAATACACAAATCGGTGCAATTTCTTGTTTTTCCTTCTTCTAAAGGCAGTCACCGAAGAATGAACCCAGGACTTTGGACTGAGCTATACCTCCAGCGCATTTTAAAATTTTTATTTACTTATTTTATTTTTTATTTATTTTTTTGTACCAGGGATCGAACTCGGGCCCTTGTGCTTGTAGAGCAGGTGGTAGAACCACTGAGCTAAATCCCTGGCCATTTTTTAATTTTTAAATTTTGAGACAGACTGAATCACCCAAGGCAGGGTCTAACTTTTGATCTCCCCGGCCTCAGCCTCCCAGAGTGCTGGGATTAGAGTCCTGCACCACTACACCCAGCTAATTGGTATAGTTTCTAAGTCGAAGGTATTATGTATGTTGTGATATGAGACTGTCACGCTGGTCCATGAAGAATCTATAATACAGGTAGTGTCCTGTCCTCACTTTTCCAAAGAGGAAGGAGGGGCTCAGAGTGGCTACCCTACCCTAGGTTATAATAGAAAGTGGCAGAACTGGTGTTTGGTGTCATGGCGTAGGCTGCAGGCTTGGAAGAGCCCAAATCCCCCTGGAGAAGAGCAACAATGGGCAGAGCCATGCCACAGGCCCTGTGCCCCCAACCCCAGAAGCGACCTGGGGCCTCACCTTCTCAGCAGCAGACATCCCATAGGAGGCCACGTGGAAGACACAGTCCACCCCTTCCAAGGCACAGTACAGAGCTTCTTCATCTCGGATGTCAGCCTGAAACAGGGGGTGGGGGTCAGGTTGGAAGCAAAGTGAGACAGTAACTCTGCACCATGCCTAATCCCAGCGGTGGCCCCCAACCCAACTCAGCCCAGCATGCAAAGGCCGAGAAAGACCAGCGGGTGTCACTGTCTGCTCTCCAGGTCCTCCGGGCTGGGCTAGGTGTTTCACGTGCACGAGTTCAGGAACTCTCCGTGAGACCCTTGGACAACAGACACTATCACTGTCCCTTCCTGTGGGTGAGGACACTAAGGCTCAGGGATGTAGGGCCGTGACCACAACTGCGCAGGAGGGACGTACAGCCTGTGACCCTAAACTCCACCACTGGTCTCACACTGTCCCCTGCCCAGTGCCTTGGCCCCTGCACCTGGATGAACTCAGTCCTCGGGGGCAGCTCCCACTGGGGTCTGCGGAGGTCGAGCAGGACGACAGAAGTGCCACTCTCGGCCAGGCTGGAGCCCAGACTGAAGCCCAGGTAGCCTCCTCCTCCCGTCACCAGAACCTTCTGCCTGGGGGCTGGTGCAGGCTTGGCTTGTGTCTTCTTCTGTGGTACTGGTGCTGGGGTTGTTGATTCACTGGGTTTGGGTCCAGATCCAGAGTCTCGCCTGGCCCCAGGCCCTGCTCCTGGCCCAGGTTCTGACCTAGACTCTGGCTCAGGTAACGGGGCAGCTCCTGGACTGGGTGCTAGAGAAGTACCAGGACTCAAAACAGCACCAGGTCCTGGTCCAGACCCCAGAACAACACCGGGCCCTGGCCCTAGCCCTGACCTCAAGCCAGAGCCTGGACCTAAGACCCCTCCCCAGGCCTGACAGACAGGGCAGCCCTTCTCGCCCTGGCCTGCAGCTTTGCAGGTCTCTGGGGAGGAGCCTGTGGGGCTGGGCTTCATCCTCTAGAGAGCCATGCAGGCCACAAACCGTCCACCTGTGGGGAAAGATAGAAGAAAGAACACTGCAGAGTTGGCTAAGTCAGAGATCATCGAACCCCCAGGACTGAAGGGAATTCCAGGTGGAAATTAGAGACCCCCCCAAGCTCCCAGTGAACCTCAAGAACTTCCAACGTAAGCCAGGTGTGTAATCACAGTACTCTAGGAGGCTGAGGTAGGAGGATCACAAAGTTGAGACAGTCTTATAAATCACTAAATTGCCCAGGCTGGGCTCCAACTCAAAATCTTCCTGTCTCCACTTCCAAAATGCTGATTTACATGTGTGCAGGCCTGTGCCGTGCGAGGCAGCAAGGACCCCCAAAATCTCACTGCCCCTCAGTATCCACAGCTGTAACAGGGGTCTAAATTACTCTGGCTGCTCCATCTGCCTCTGCCTCACAAGTAGTCTGAAGAGAGGCCAAAGAGCCTGGCCAACTAGAACGAAGCTGTTGCGGGGTTTGTGTGTGGGGTGTCCTCAGCACCTAGGACAGTGCCTGGGTCACCACAGCTGCTGATGAACAAAATCACTGGGATCTGTTCGGTGTCAGGAACACAGGGCCAACCCCGGACAAGGCAGTCCCCGGGTAGTACAGCTACCGTTTGGTTCCCGGCATCCGGAGGTGGAAAGTGAGGCACGGGGCACTTTAGGGAACGTTACAGTAAATGTCTCCGCCCGAACCCAGGTCCTCGGGAGCCCAAAGCGGGTCTGATGAGAGGACAGGGAGGGCTGGGGTGGCAGGAAGGAGCCGAGACCCCACGCGGGGGCAGCCGGCCGGGTCCGGTGGGGACTACGACCCCGCTTCGCCCTTCCCCCCCCATCCATGTCCCGGCCGCACCTGGCCACGCTCACCTGGCCCGGGCTCCAGCGAAGCTGCGTGCTCCTCGCAAGGTCTCCGCGCCAAGCCGGTCGCCCCGGCCACCCCTCTCGGATGGGGCGGGGCCACGATGAGGACCGCCCACCACGCCCCGCCCCCGCCCCGTCCCGCAGGCCGTCCCCCGGGGCAGTCAGGACCCAGGAAACTGTTCCTTTCTCCACCCATCCACCATCCATTCTCCCACAGGTCCCTCAACTGGCGGGCCTCCCTTCCTGCTTTCCTCACTTCTTTTTCCTCTTTTCATCAATGGTTAGTCCCCTTGTTCTTCCATCCACCTCTATCCATCCATTCATCCATCTTTCCACCTAGTTTTTACTAAGCTTTTTGTCCGTCTGTCCATCTATTTATCCAGCATTCCACTCGTCTCTGCACCTGTCAATCCATCTTTTCTGGCTTTTTCAGGCTGTTGTTCCACCTTTTTCTTTCCTCCCCCATCTTTCCACCTGTCCAGCCAAACTTCCATTCATCCAGTTTGTTCCGTAACTTTTCTTCTTTTCTCCCATCTGTCTGCTCTTCCTGTCTTGCATTCTGCCCATCTCTGTGTTGTCTATTCATTATTCCGTCGATCCTACCCTGCCCCCACCCCATACAGGGTATCGAACTCAGGACCTTGTGCTTTCGAGACAGGAGCAATGCCACTGAGCTAAATCCCTGGCCCATCCAATGGGTGGTTCTTTAGTGCTGGTTTTTCCCCTGAGCCAGGGACCTGGATACTCCATTATCCCCAGAAGGATAATATTTGAGTGGCAAAGCAGAGGATCAGGCAGTACCCATTGGAACAGCTGCTACCACACAGCAGCAGAGCCTGAGGACAGGGAGCCCAGTCAGTTTGGCTTGAGGAGGGTGACCGAAAATGGCCACTTGTTGAATGTGCTCTGTGGGCATGGGTGTGGAGGAGAGAAACAGAAGACCCTTGCTTGCTTATTCTGTGTGCCAGATGGTAAGGTTTCTTTTCAATGCTCACCATTCTGTTTAAGCCCAATTTTAGAGACAGGGCAACAGGTTCCAAAAAGGGGCCCGGTGTGTAGGGGGTACAAGGTCATGTCTGGTTTTAAATCTTGGTTTTGCCACTTCTGTGCTGTGCCTTCAGACACCTACAAGGGTGTTTCTCCATCCACAGACCGGAACTGGTGTCTGCTTCACAGCATGGCACTGTGAGTACACGATTTACATGCCCAAAGCAGAGTACAGTGCCTGTCCTGGGGTGTCCCCCAGAGGCAGCAACTGTCATATGGGAGACTAGGTTTGAACCCTGCTTCACCACTTCACAAGCCCAGTCTGTTCCATTCACAAAGACCAGCCTATTCCTCTGCCGCCAGCAGGACCAGAGAATTCATATCCCCAGTGCCAGCTGCTGGTGTTGTCCTGCAAGAAGCAGCACTTACATTGCAGCTGGTGTTGAATTGTGTTGAATTGTGTTCCCCACAAAGTTCATACGCTGAAGTCCCAACCCAAGTATTTCGGATGTGATCTTATTTAGAAATGGAGTCACTGCAGACAGAATTTTGAGATTAGTGTAGTAGGGTGGCTTCCTCTTCCAGCATGCTTGGTATTTCAGGAAAGGGAAATTCAGGCACAGCCGTACTCAGGGGGAGCATCATGCAAAGAGTGGAGCCTACACTGCTGTAAACACAGGAACTATTGGAAGCAAGAAGCCTGGAACAGATCCTTCCTAGTGCCTTCAGGAGGAGCATGGCTTTGCTGGCACCTTGATCTTGAACTTCAGCCTCCAGAAATGGGAAACAACACATTTCTATTATTTCAGCCACTTGAGCAGGGGTGCTCCGTTACAGACAGCAGGGACACAACACCCCAGAACGGCGACTGTTGAAGGTGATCCAACTGAGATTCTCGGTGGCACTGTGGTGGCCACTGCAGTCTCACTGGGCACGGCACAGAGCCTGGCCAAGCAGAGTTCATCAAGCCTTGGTAAACCAAGCATTTTTAAATAATCTGATAATTTTTACTTGCACATATGGATGTTAGTCCATTTATGTTCCTGTAATGAAATACCTCAGACTGGGTAACTTTATGAAGGAGAGGTTTATTTTGGCTCAAACTTTTGGATGTACAAGGTCAAAGGCCAGAGTCCAACGATTACCTGATCTAACCCCAACCCCTCCCAGAGGTTGGATTTGTTTTCCACCCTCTTAATACCTCACAGTGGTGGTGATCAAATCTCAATACATCAGTCCTCAGTGAAAACAGAAATTTCCAATGTAAGTACCACCTCAAGAAGATGTACAACACTTCCAGCACCCCAGATGGCCCTTTGGTGCCCCTCTCCAGAGTAACAACCATTCTAACTTCTATCCCCAACAAATAATTGTGTGTATGTGTGTGTGTGTGTGTGTGTGTGTGTGTGTGTGTGTAATTTTTTGAGACAGGGTCTCACTATGCAGCTCAGATTGGCCTTAAACTTGTGGTGATCTTTCTGCCTCAGCCTCCCAAATGCTGAGATTACAGGAGTGCACCACCACACCCAGCTGTCTGTTCTTGAACGTCATACAGATGGCATTAAGTAGTATGTACTTTTAGTGTCTGGTTTCCTTTGTCCATGATCATTCAAGAGATTGATGCATCTTGTTGAAAATAGCTATAGTTCAGCCTTTTCCCGTTAATGTATAGTATACCACTGTAAAAATGCATTAAAATTTATTTGCCCATTCTACCATTGGTGGATATTTAAGTAGTTTCCAATTTGGGGCTCTTATAAAAAAACTACTATAAACATTCGGTATGTTTTTTGTTTGTTTTGTTTGCTTTTTTGGTGCTGGGATCGAACCATGGTCCTGCTTATATAAAATGCATACTCTGCTTCTGAGGTGTACCCCCCACGCCCATTGGGTGTGTCTTCCGCCAGACATTTGTACTCATTTATCTTAGAGTGGGGTTGCTGGGTCATACAGAAGGCATGTATTTTACTGCAGGAGAAATTGCCAAAGATTACCCCCCACGCCCATTGGGTGTGTCTTCCGCCAGACATTTGTACTCATTTATCTTAGAGGGGGGTTGCTGGGTCATACAGCAGGCATGTATTTTACTGCAGGAGAAATTGCCAAATTGTTTTCCAAAGTGGTCAAACCAATGTATCCTCCCTGACTCCCACTCTTTGTCTAGGAAATGAGCACTCCAGTTGCTCCATATCTTGATATTGTCAGTCTTTTTATATTTAGCCATTTTGGTGGGTGTGTAGTGTGGTTTTAATTTGAATTTCTGTGATAGGAAAGGCTGTTGGGTACTTTTTCCTGAACCTATTAGCTATATGTTCTTGAGCTTTTTGTTAATTTTTTAAAATTAGATTTCTATTTTCCTATTTGATTTGATGTTATTTACATATTCTGAATGACTCAATAAAGCTTTGTCTTACTACAAATTTATACATACATTCACCAATGATCACTTCAAGCAGTTAAAAATCAGGCTGGGGATGCAGCTCAGTGGTAGAGCACTTGTCTAGCATATACAAGGTCCTGGATTCCATCCTTAGCACTGCCAAAAGCCGAATAACAACAGCCATCAAAAAACAAAATAAAGGCCAGGGATTTAGCTCTATTCATGGAAATAAAAGCAATTTTGATGCCATAACATATGCTGCATTCAGGTCATATGTGCACAGTGGAACCTGATTTTCATAGTGCTGAGCAGAGCATTCACTCTGGACTGGGTTCTGGAGCAGCCTTCAGTTCAGTTTGGTAGAGCAGGCATGGGTGGGGTGGTGGACACTGCTGGCCTCTTCTCCCCTCAAGTCAGGCTGCCAGTGAATCTGCCTTGGCCCCAAGGAGAAGTGGCCTCCTCTGACTAGCTTTCTGAGTGGGGCTCCCACATTCTGCGGGGTGCTCACTGCTCACCATGTATCTGCCACAGGGCAGGTGCTGCGAACCCACAGATGGTTAGGACTGTGGCCTCATCCGGAGGTGCCCTAGTGAAGGAGGAGAGTTAGATAATCAAGCAAGTGCCAAGTGCACCAAGAAGCATCAGTCAGGCTACAACAAGAGGAAGGCTGGAAGCTTCCAACTCTGCCTGGGGGTCTTGGCTCTATGTGGGCCCCACAGACATCTTCACAGTGGGGCTGATGTCACCTGAGCTGAGAGTCCCCAGGCAGAGGACTGCAAGAAGGACATTCCAGGCAGGAAGCTTGATGTAGGACTCAACAATCTTATGCTGGAATGTAGGATGCATTGGAGAACAGGCCAGGAGAGTAGGGTGGACCCACAGATGGCTCCATCATCAACAGTCTTTTCTCCCAGACTTCCAGCATGTTCTGGTGCCTGCAATGGTCTTTCCCATGGGCCACAGCTTCCTGCGTCCTCCAGTGCCGCAGCCAAGATGAGCTCAGGGAGTGTTCTTGTGGGGGTGGCCTCTTCTGTTTAGAGGAGTCATAATTTCTGATCCCTCCCCACAGTCACAAATGTCTACAAAATAGAACATGCTGCCTGGCCCTAAGCAGGCATTTGGCAGGTGGGAAGCCCAGATCCTCGCCTTACCTGAGAACATTTCTCTACTCAGGAGTAACCTGTGCTTCTGCATTGCTTTTCTTCTGGAGCTGGGCTCTGATGGTAAGAAGAGGAGGAAGACAGTTTCCTCGATGCCCATATTTCTGGGCCCGGGGAGTGGGAAGAAGCAGGACAAAAGCTCTTGAAGTGAGGGTGCCCTGACCAGGGTGGGCTGGTCTGGACGGGGCCCAGGGTCCGGGTGGGCTGGAGCACAGGTTGGTGGCAGCACTGCCTGAAGAACACACCTGAAGACCCGGGCTCGTGCAAGGAATCTCCTGGCCTTGGTGATCTCCTGAGCTAATATCCTCAAGTCATCGCCTTCGAACAGTGGCAGTGGGGGGTCCTTGGAAAGGGGAAATGAGTATGAAGTTTGGTTCATGAGACGACCAGATGTGATCTGAAAATCTCAAATCTCAGGGGTTTAGAGCAAATTAAACGCAGCCTTCCACTGAGGGCAGGAAATCCTGTTGCCTCCGTTTGCATGTCTCTAGAGATGGGAAGCTTAGCACCTATCTAGGCAGTCGTTTTGCACACAGAACACTTAATACAATATCCAGGAGTCACTGGGAAGTGGGCAGGCAAACCAGCTTGGTCTCTGGACTTCAATGAAGCTGGCACCTCTCTAGGCTGATAGAAATGGTACACACTCCTTATCTCATCACCAGTCAGTAAAATGTCTTCAGCCCTTGATTTCGCCTAGTAAAGTAGAACTACACAGGCAGGCTTTTAAAAATGTTAACTACTGAAATTCCAGAATCTAGCCTCATTTATTTTTTGTGGTACTAGGGATTGAACCCAGAACCTTCACATTGAGCTACATCTCCAGCTCTTTAAAAAATTATTATTATTTTAAATTTTGAGCCAGCTTCTGGCTAAGGGGCTAAATTGCCCAGGCTGGGCTCAAACTTGCAATCTTCCTGTCCTAACCTCTCAGAGTTGGGATTACAGTGTGCGCCACCACACCTGGCTGTGAGCCTAGCTTGCTTTCTTTTCTTTTTCCTTCTCTTTCTCCCCACCCCCACTCTCTCTTTCTTGATAGGGCTTTCCTATGTAGTTCAGGTTGGCCTTGAACTCACTTTGTAGCCCAGGCAGGCCTTGAACTCGCAATGATCCTCCTGCCTCAGCCTCCCGAGTGCTAGGATTACAGGTGTGCACCACCACACCTGGCTATGAGCCTAGCTTTAAACACATAGGTTCTCACAATTAAATTCTAAGAAAGAGGTGAAGCTGTCTCCTCTCCTGGGAGCAGTATTCCCATTCTGCAGGCACAAACTCATTCACAGAAGCTGATTTGATACAGTCTTAAACTGAGAAACTGCATGCATAATATTATCAATTATCTTCCTGTGTCATAGGGATATGTAAGTGAATTTTTGTTGTTTTTATCAACTTGCTCTGCCTTTGGTATAGTCACATTTGTTCCTAAAAGTCACACGAACAAGGGACTTATATTAGGCTACACAGACTTCAAAAATTCTGCTGTGTGTTGGGAAAAGAAATCTAGACTTCTGATTGGTTGTCTTACTTGATCATGTCTTGCCTCAGAAATGTCGTCAGTGGCAACACTCCACTCCTTAAAAGGTTTAAATGTATGCATCACTTTTCTGTCAAGCTGTAAGAGGATTATTGGAACCTACGACTTCACAGGGTTTATTACTCAGGTAACCTAGAATTTCACCGGATCTGCTGTTTAACAGGTGATCTGAATATCTGTGTCCCATTAATTGAACACCAGAGGACAGATCCATGGGGATTAAAGCACACAGGGTATAAACACGGTGTCTTAGGCACTGGCTTCATCCTTTCCTTTGATTTGAGGCATATTTCCTAGCCTTTCTAAGCCTACTTGTAACTGTGAGTGAGTACACTCACAGTGAGTGCCCAGGAGGACTGAAAATCAGATCATCTATAAAGCCAAGTACTTGCACACAGGAAATGCTCAACAAATATAAACTGGTCTGTTACTAGCAACACCTCCCAAGGGCTGGGCATGTAACTCAATGGTTCCACTGTCTGCTTTACAAGTGCAAGGTCCCGAGTTTGATCCCCAGTACCAAAACAAAACAAAACACACACACAAAAAAACTCCAACACCCCCCCAAACCTGCTTGTTTCCCAACATGTAGAGGAGTGGCATGAAAGGAGAGCCTCAGGGGAGCCCAATCCTTTTTTAGTAATATTTTGTCTTGCAAGAGAAAGAGATCTCAGGAAGAAACCCACACTTGTGAACATTTCTTGGAGCCAAACCATTGATACAAGAGCCGCCACCCTCAGTGCCCGCGACTTACCCTTTCGTCGATGGAGCCCCTGGTGAGCAGGCAGCGGACCCCGCAGAGTGTGTCCTCCCCGACAGGGCAGTGGTACCGGCCGCCAGTGAGGGCAGCGAGCTTCTTCAGGAACTCAGCAGCTGCTCTGGGGAGGGGCGGAGGCCTCGGCTCATGGAGGGTGGGGGAGGCCAGCCGGGCCCCGGACCCCCAGAGCACTTTGTGGGGCAAAGGGGAGGCAGCCTGGCAGAGGCCCTCAGCTGCGCCTGTGGGGCATCGTCAGCATCACCAAGGGCGCTTCCTGGCCAGGTTATGGAGATTCAGTCACTGACTCCCTCTGGCCAGCGCACTCTGGCGCGCTCCTCCGTTGGACATCTCTGCCGTGGCTGGCCTGAGCTTGCAGTTTCGACAAAGCGAGAAAGCGTGCACCTAAGTAATACTTTTGCTAATAATAAAGAGTTTGCTTTGGTTTGGTTTTTTGGTCCGGGAATCAAACCTCGAGCCTTTTACATGCTAAAAACATTCTCTAGCCCTAAGTTACACCCTCAGACCAGGAGCTGAGTCGTATCCAGCCCACATTCTTCTACAGCGAGTTTCAGTAAAAACCATGATGCTACATTACCTTCATGTTTTCCTCTCTAGATATTCACACGCCAGTGTACACATTTCCCTCCTAAATTTTCACAAATGTGCTCCCAGGAGAGGGCGGAGGGCGAAGGTGGCGTGGCTGCGTGGTTCCCAGGGGAGTAGGCTGCTGACGGGTGAGGCTGGGTGGAAAGGGGCCTTCGCTCTGTGGTGTAACATCTACCCAGACCCCTGGAAATCCAAAGCCGCTCCCATTTCTTGACTTAGAGGACGAGGGCCTAGGACAGGCCGGGTCTAGGGAGGGTGAGAAGCCCAGATCCCCCTTCACGAGCTTAGCCCGACTCCTCCAGGCCCACCTGTCTTCGCAGCTCAGGGAGACGGTGTGCACCTTCACGGCCCTGTCCTCCTGCAGTCTTTGCACCGCATCCAGGACAAGGCTGCAGCTTGTGTCCGGCTTCCCGTCCGTCAGCAGGTATAACCCTTGCACACCGTGGAAACTGAAAGCTTTCTGAGAGAGCACGGGGACGCTGTCAGCCTTAGGGGACAGGGTTCCCCAGAAGGGGCAGAAACCAACTGCCTGACAGTGGTCCCCGATGTCCCTGAGGAAAGTTGCTGAGGGAGTTGCTGAGGGTTAGAAGCAAAAGTGTGGCCCATTGCCCAGCTAGTTAATTTCAAGTAAGTCACTTAACCTCTCAGACTCTGTTCATTTTGCAGTGAGAACAAGAATCCTTTCTCACTGGGTGGTCAGGAAGATGAGCAGCATTCTGCAAATCACGCCGCACTAGCATAGGGGACGGTGGTGTTTTTCCTGTTCTTCCGGGTCAGGTTCAATGGCAGCACTTACTGATAAAGCTTGCAAGACTGAGGTGCTCCCCTGAGCCGTCAGACGGGTCACCCACTGCGTGGCTTCCCGACATGCTGCGTCTGTGGCCTCCACCAGAGTGTTCTGCCATGGCTGGAGCCCCTCCGAAAAGCTGAGTAGGTTAAAACTGGGGAGCGGGAGAGGAAAGGGGCGGTGAGGTGGGGAGAGAGGGTAGGGTCAGAACAGCTTGTGCTGGCTTCTGCTGAGGTCACCTCCGTGAGGGCTGCCGGACAGTTCATGGAGAGCCTCTGACTTGAGGGGCCCTTGGAGAGGGCTGTGAAGCCCCTGAGACAGAAACAGTTCAGCCACTGATTATGTGATCTTGGGCAAGTTAAGCTCTCTAAGAATCGATGAAATCGGGTGTGTGAAGTGCCTGTCACTTGCTCAGTGAATGTTTACTCCTAGTAACATTAAGCCAGGAACAAGTTCCAGCCTAGAACCAGTATTTTTTGTTCTTTTCTTTCTGAGTAGAAAGGACAACCTCCCATATTTAAAAAAAAAAATCAGGTTCAGACCAGATGTGGTGGTGCACACCTATAATCCTAGCATTCTGGAAGGTTAAGGCAGGAGGATCTCAAGTCTGAGCCAAGCATGGGCAAGTTAGTAATTTAGTGAGAACATGTCTCAGAATAAAAAAAAAAAAAATTAAAAGACTGGACAGATAGCTCAGTGCCAAGGGCCTGGGTTCAATCCCTACTATCACACACACACATAAACACACATACATATATCAGTTTCAAGGGCTGGGCATATAGGTCAGTTGTATGGCATTCTCCTACCCTGAGAGAGATCCTGGGTTTGATCTCCAGAACTGGAAAAAAAAGAGCTCAGCTGAAAACTACAATTCAAGGCCACACAGTGGTACCTTTGCTCTGCTTATAACTGTCTCTGGGATGAGACGGAATTCTGAAAAACATGTACATTCCTCTGTCTCACAGCGGCATACAGTGGCCCTCTCTGTGCAGCATTGTTCAGAAGGGCATTTGAGAGGCTTCTGGGCTGGAACCGTGAGGAGGAAATGTGTGACCTCCAGGCACCACCCTGCCTGTGTCCTACCTGTCACAGCGCTTTCTCAGCTGCTCCCAGATCAGCAGGATCATCTCTGTCTTCACCTGCTGCAAGTAGGGGCCCACGGATCCCGATGTATCCAGCAAGACGCACACTTGGCTCTCTAGGATGGCACCAAAGAGTCGACGGCTCCCTGTTCCAAGTGGGACAGAGTCGGGTCCTTCCTCTATCCACGGGGACAGCAGAAGTGACAAATGGCTGCTCTCCGGGAAAGGATGGACTGCACTGGCCAGACCCGCTGCCCCAGGGTCTCCCAGGACTCATCCTGGTGATCTCTGGTGATGCTCATTACACACAGGGAAGCCAGAGGCGAGGCAGCCGGGAGCAAGTGGGGACCTGCAGGAGGCTTCCCACCACCAGCCACAGACCGTAGGGACAGTGCGAACTCTGCTGTTTACAACCACCCGAATCTAACTGCCCACTTCATCCATCTCCACACCGTTACCCTTTTCCAGATATCTTTTTTTTCCAATACTGAGGCTCAAACTCAGCACATTTACACTGAGCTACATCCCCAGACCTTTAAATTAAAAAAAAAAAAATTGAGACAGTGTCTTGTTAAGTGGCCATGACGTCCAAGCTGAGCTTGAGTTTGCGATTCTCCCGCCTCTGCCTCCCCGACTGCCGGGGTTATGGGTGTTGGGCCATCACCCCCAGCTTCCCAGCTATCGTACTCTTCCATCTGGGATACGGCTCATTCTCCCTCATTTCCCTTCACTTCACTTTCTTGAGAATTGATTTTCCAAGTAGCAGCCACGGAGATCTTTGCCATCACTGACTTGGTTGCTTTCATCTTATTTAAAATCTTTTAATGGCTTTCCATCGCTCTTACCAAATAACAAAGTCTGTGCCCTGGCTGCATCTCTCAGTGGGCTTCCCCTGGACCTTACTCAGCCCACACTGGCTGCCTTCTTTCTGGCTCTGTACTCAGCGTCCTGCCTCCTGTGCTCCGGTCCTCTTCGCTTTTGCTAGATAACACCTGGGCGATCTTCAGATCTCAGCTCCAGCATCACCTCCCCTGAGCAGCTTCCTCTTTTCCTGTCCAGGCCAAATGGCTCTCGAACACCTTGCTCCTTCTCGCCCCACACTCGCCACACTTGTGGGATTAGACTTGTTTGTGGTTCTTTGCTTAACATCTGTCTCCTGCTAGACCATTCTCCCTGAGCTCAGTGACCATGGTGGGTTTTGCCTTCCAACCTTCCCTAGCACTTCACAAGAGAGCAAGACTTGTTTGTTGACTTGTGGAGGGGGCAGAGATACACACAGCCCCCTACCTAAGCTTAGAAGTATTAGTGTTCAGGTGTGTACCTGTGTGAGTCGGGGACTCTACCACAAAAGCAGCACCTGCAGCATCTGTCTGGTCTTCGTGCTCAACCTGGTGGTCACTGTGCCCCGGGAACAAAGAGAACCCATCCCTCTTTGATCCGCCTCGGCATCTCATCTGACGGTGACCCCCGGAGTCTGTGTCCCATGGGAGGCTTTGGAGAACAGCAGCCACTGACACACACTGTTGCCCAGGGACTGTTTATGCAGGGACTGCTCTGTCACTGAGGACTGGGCAAGTGAGTTTGCCCTGGAAGCCATGTGGCCCACACAAGCCGCCTGCAGGATCTCTCTGTGAGTTCCCTCTCCTTCCTCCTAATGTTCCTGGAAACTTGGGGCCCCCAAGCCTACGTTCTCTTGGCCTCGATCCCCAGATGGTCTCTTCCTGCCCAGCCCACCCTCCCCTAGGATGGCACCCTGGCTCTCTTCACCTGCCCTCCCTCTCCGGGGATAACAACAGAGGCTTTTTTTGGTCAGGGTTCCTCCCATCTCTGCCTTGGTGGCTGATTTTTGAGGTCCCTGTGCTGGGAGTGCCTCGGTCATGTGTGGGAAGGCAAGGAGTACAGATGGCCTTGCAGGGCAGCCTGGACGGGCATGAGTTCTCTCTGGGCTCTGTGGCTGCGCTTCTTCTGCCACCTAGCGCCTCGCTTGCCCTCCGAATCCCAGACTCAAGTTGCTCATGCGTGAGCCCCCTGGCTTAATCCCCTGACCTCGGAAGGACTGGCCCTGGGGTCCCTGGGTAAGCCTTCCATTGCCCCCACACCCCACAACCTCGGGACAGCAGGCAGGCTCACCGGACAGCAGCCACTGCAGCCTCTGGGTGTAGCACCTCGTCACCTTCTCCAGACACGCGATATACACGTCCATTTCCCTGAGTGTCCACTGAATGTGTCTCACCACTCCCTAGGCCAAGGCAAGTGAAGGCAATAGCTGCTCCCCACCATTTTCATCCCCCCAAATAGGTTATTCCATTACAAGCAACAATTCCCAAACATCTGTTAAACATACCTTGTTGTTCACTCAAAAGCTTTTTTCCCTGTTGTTAAACTACCCGATCTACAGTTCTATGAAGGAGCAGGGAAATCAGCATAATAGTTTTGTGATAAGCGTGGTCATGGTAATTAGTAAAACGTACAATGTCTCCATGTTTTAGGACAGAAAACCCTTAATGGCGGGGTTGGAAATTCATAAATTTCAAACCAAAGGATTGCCTTGGATAGAGAGGGGGCATCATGTTAAAAATGACCACAATTCTTTTAATGGATAATTTTGAATTTTGGGGCTATTTTTAGTTCCCTCTAATGTTGATAATGTGATCTAAAAGAGCAAAGGGAGAGACACGATTTTTTTTCAGTACCAGGAAATGAACTCAGGACCTTTCACTTGCCAGTCAGGCATGGCGTCACTGAGCTACATCCCTGGCTCAAGAGAGAAATGATTTGATTTTTATTTTGTACTAAATTTCCTTGTTGTAGCATCAAAACAATGAAAAAAAAAAAAAATAAAAACCACTATCCCCCAAACTAGAAAATAGAGACAGGAGCACCTTTCCTCCTGTTGTAACTCCCATTTGCGACCATTCTAACAGAACTATCAGTGGGTTGGGGGTGTCTAGCGATTTTAGAGGAGTATCTAAGCCTTACTCACACAGTGCTTGCTCTTTTTCTCTCTCCCATGAGCCAATGTAACCCCGAAGTGTGATTTCAGGCCCTCGGAGGGCTTGAACTTTCCTTGCAACAGGCTTCTATATCTCCTGTTGGCCGAGGGAAGTCACACTTTGGGGCTGGGGTTCTTAGAACCAGAACAGAAGCTAAAGTCCCAAGCTCTGCTCCCTGCCATCTGCAGCTGACAAGAGGCAAAAGCCCAGGGGAGGAAAACAACGCAGACGGACTTACATTGATCTCCGCGCTGGGGAAGACATCGCAGTGCCTGGCTGGACTCTGCGCTGACTTTGGATGGGTGCAGTTGGGACCCAGGCATCTGGATATCTCCAGCTTCAGCTTTTTCAACCCGTAATTTGCTACCCACTTTAGAATAAAGAAGAGAACTATTATCTAGGTGATGCCGGCTGAGCTAAGTGATTGTCTGATGCATCGTTTTGTGTGCGCAATGTGAGGTCCCTGGGTCCTCCCTGAGCATTCTCCATCTGCAGATGTTTTCCCCAGCTCTGGGGGAGAGATGCCCAAGAAACAGCAAACAAGAAGCAAAATGTACCAAGTACTTTCTAGTCCCTTGTTTAGTGAACATTCTTGCTTCCCCAACTTCCATTTTAACCTTCCACCACAAAATTTAGGTGGAAAACCCCAAACAGCCTGAAGTTTGGACTAAAACAATTAGGATAATTTCAGTGTCGCACGGAGAGACACCGGTACGGCAGGCTCCGGGCCATCAGAGAAGGGCACCCAGGATGGCCCGGTAAGAGCCAGGCTTGGATTTTTATTGGATGGTTGTAGGAAGAAAGATGGCCTGAAGAAGAAGGGGACTTCTAAGCCGGGTATGGTGGTGCACGTCTGTTATCCCTGTACTCAGGGTTAAGGCAGGGTTAAGGCCACAAGTTCAAGGCCAGCCTGGGCCACATAGTGAGTTCAAAGTCAACATAAACTGCATAGCAAGGCCCTGTCTCAAAAATACATAAAGGATTTATTGCCTGCAACCAAAAGGATCTGATATCATTAAAGCACTTCCTGCAAAATGCACTGTAATCAGTCTTTACATCCTTCCCTCCCCATGGTACTAGGCAGCGAACCCAGGGTCTCTACATGCCCAGTTCTTCTTCATTTTCAAAAATATTTTGAAACAAGGTCTCTAAGTTGCTGAGTTGCCCGGGTTGGGCCTGAGCTTGCAGTCCTCCTGGTTTAGGTTCCCAAAGTGCTGGGATTCCTGGGATCGCCTTGGCAGGCTCTCATTTCTTGTCTTCATTTTACAAAGAACTGAGACTGAGTCCCATTACGTGACTTCCCCGAGGCCTCCTAGCTATGACGTGGCAGGTTCTGAACTCAGGTCTGTTTAACTGTTACCCTCTTTGCCGCACTGAGGGGTCATTCTTAGCAGGTTTATCCTCTTTCTTCCTAGAAATAGTGGTCGGCGGAAGGAATTACCGTCTAAGGAGGTGTGTGGCCGGGACAACTCAGTACCTCTTGGCTTGAGCAAACTGTGTCCTTCCTGGGCAACTCAACAGAAGATCCGGTCCTCCTTATGCTTCTTCTCTGAGGGTACTTCTTGTATACTGAGCCTAGAGAAACAGAGCAAGGCCACCTGTGTATCTGCCTTCCCTCCTCGCCACTCCCTTTCTAGTGTCAATGTCTCTGCCAGTCAAGTCAGCTGTAAAATTCCTTAGCTGCAGTTTGCTGGACATGGAAAGGGGCGCCACTGGATAAGCAGGCAAAGCTGCTGGGGACCTCTCTTCTCCATACAGCCATGAGCGGCTGCTGGGATGGGGACCAGCTCACAGCAATCCATCAGGCTGGCTAGGGAATTTCCTCCACTCCCTTCCCAATCAGCCTCAGGGCTAAGGGATCTGCCCCTCATGGGTGGCACCAGAGTGCCAAGGCAGATCTCATCGCAATACTGACTTTCCTCCTCCTCTGGCAGGGGAAAGACTGTGAGTCCTTTTCCCTGGGCTGGGGAACTGCTGTTGAAGACAGGCCTGCTCCAGGCCACTGTGGGGAGTGCAGCCTCCGGGGGAGTGGAGGGGTCTCCTTCCACTACGGGCCTGCTGCCCTTCGCTTCCCACGGGGCCAGATACTCATGAGGTCTCTGCTTTACCTACTCTGTTGCCAGTCTCTGTGTAGAACAGGGACAGAGATGCCTCCGCTGCCTGTGATCTGGTCTTCCTCCTCCACTCTGCTGCCCCTTCTTTCAAGGGCTGGGCTGTGGAGAGAAGACATTTGGCTCATCGGCTAGGGTGGTCTCACAGGCTCCTGTGCTACAGCTGTACCTGCCTTAGAGACAGCTCAGTGTCACCTCTGGGACTGGAGTTCCAAGGTAGCTTTGAGGCAAGCTCTTGCCCCCACCCCAAGTCCCCCAGCCCCATCTGGACCGGTGACAACCAGAGTTACTGTCCCTAAGTCCGGACATTCACCAGGCAGGCAGGGTGCTAAGTTTATGTGCTCCGTGTCCTTTCACCCTCACAGCCCCCTAGGTCATAGATGAGCCCAGTGGAACTCAGAGCAAGGAAGCACAACAAAGGTCCCACCCTGCTCTTGCTGACTCAGAACCCAGCCCCGAGCCACTCTGCTGTATCCTTGACCTTCGAATGAAGATACACAGTCTCAAGTCTATGGGCCCAGTGCTTTTGTAAAAATAGTGATTGGCTATCACAACCAGCTGGAAAATTTTGTAAAAATAGTGATTGGCTATCACGACCAGCTGGCAAATTACAGTCCCCGTGAGCCTTGTTCCTTGGGAATGAAGTAAGGATCTTACACAGAACGTATCACATAGGACTGACTGTCGCAGGCTCTTGGTCACTGGTGATATAGTCACCATCATCACTGTCATTTGTCACACTGAAGACTGAACCCAGGGACTCTCACTGAGCCACATCCCTAGCCTCTTTTTGTTTTTATTTTGAGACAGGGTCTTGGTGAGTTGCTAAGTTGCCCAGCCTCAAACTCATGTTCCTCCTGCCTCAGCCTCTCAGAATTCTAGGATGACAGGTGTGTGCCACCGTGTGACTGTTTACCATCATTATTAATCCACACCCCAACAGTGTCCAAGCCACCCCACCACCCACTACCTACCCATAGCCCTGCCTTACCTGGGCAGATGCCCACTTTGCCACTGAGTGGATGGCATTTCAGGGCTTTTGATGGAGGGCTCCTCTCTCTCTTTGGGTCCTCTTTAAGGTTCTAGAAAACAGGCCCTATTTCCCATCAGAGGCCTATTTCTGTGGCAGGCAGCACCCCGCTCATCCCAGTTTCATTCTGCCAACCAGGAGCTTTGGTAGGGGTGGGCCTGAGGGAGTCAACTCCTCACATGTATTTGACCCATGTCTTGCAGAAAATCCGGAGGGAGACTCTGGGTTCTGGGGTGAAGAAGTCTGAATGTGTGTGGTATGAGAGAGGATGAGAGAGCATACTCAGACAGCTGTGAGGGTCTGGGTATTTTCCTCAGAGTCTTCCTCAACACTTATCTGTCCCTCATCATACTAGACTGAGATTTCTAGGCCTCTAGCATGACAAACCATTCAGGTTATTTCTGGGCCCTGCTGGGTACCTTGGTTTTAAGTGGGGGCAGTTTCTTCCTTACTGGGTAAACTGGAACATAGCAAAAGTCAAACAAAGACACTGGGGCTTCGTGAGTTGCTGTGGAAAGAGCCTGCCTGGAATTCTGCCAACTCTGAGGACTCCCCAGTCTTGCATCAGGATGGCCTGTTGGAGGCCATGGTGCAACCTAAGATTCCTTGCTCTGAATTCACTCAGGAAGCACTGAAGGTCAAAGAGGAAGTATCTAAAATTCTAGTTTCCTCCAGAATTTGGGAGGTCATGAAAGAGGGTGAAGTCTGAAGAGCTGGTGGAGTTCTTCCGATGAGGCAGTGCCTGTGAGCACAGAATCCCCTGGAAATGCAGCTGCACCCTCTCTAGGACGATGTCTTTGTCCTGGAAATGTGCTGCGTTCACAAGAGTCTCAGTCAATGAGCTGCTTAAGGACCCTTGGTTTCTCTGCCGCACAGCACTACTGCTGGGGGCCGGAGCTTCCCCCTCAAGGCCCCTTCTGATGGCTAAGAAGGGGTGGGAACTTTACGCAGCACACACTGGACAGGCTGTCGATGGAGTTAAGCCAGCGGGCATGGGTCCCCCCTCAGGCTCCCATGAGGCCCCAGCCAAGCCCTGGGTTTAGACCCATAATCCTTTGCCCCCAAGAGACCCTCCTCCCAGGATAAGCTATTATATGCAATGATGAGTGCCTCTTCCACGGAGTTCCTAGAACCAGGCTAGGGAGCAAACCTGGGATAGCCAGGCAGGACAAAAGGTGAGGTGAGGGAGGCCAGAGAGGCCGCCAGAGCTGAGAAGCAGGTCTTTCCTTGGAGGCCAGGCTGGGAAGTGCCCAGTGGACACCCGGTGTCCCTGACTCAACCCGAACTGGCTCGGCGGGGGGCCTGGGAGCCTTGCCCTCGGCATTTTAAGAGCTAGGAAAGACCAGAAAACAAACTGGAAACACAATCCTCTGTGTTATTAGGGGAGGAGTCAAACCATTCTGGCCATCGAGGGGGCTGTAGGCTTGGGTGGTGAGGATTTCTTGGGCTGACTTCTTTGCTTGAGCATCTTTGGCTTTTCTTTAGAGAGGGCTGCACTTTCCAGTTCTTTTCCCAAATGGTTCTTCAGGGAGGCCACCAGTAAGGCGCACTAGAATGAGGATTGTGAGGGTTAATCAGTGTCCAGAGCCACTGGGGATAGACAGACAGATTACACACATGGCAGGAAAGAGTCCCTGGCAACCCCTTGATACCTCTTCCAGTCACTAGAATGCCCCTGGGGCTGAGTGCTGTGGGTCGATCTATGAACAGTGCTAAGCGTTCTGAATGGTGGGCCTGGGATGCACTGGACACCGGGCTACTTAATACCTGGAGTGCCAATCCCTCCTGACAACAGGATATGTCACCTATGCCGTAGGGTAGGTACTACCTTATCTCCATCTTACAGATGGGGAAACCAAAACTCTGTGAGCTTGAGGTTTGTGCCCAAGCCCATACTACTAGTAGGTAGAGGAGTTTTAGTTCAAATGCAGGCTGCTCTGGATCCTAAGCCAGGGCTCTTTCCATTTAAGACATAAGGGCATACAAAGGTGCTGGTCAGCTCGTCACGGGCCCAGGGCTGACTCCAGACCCGGAGAGAAAAATCACAGATGGATGCTCATTCCTTTGCCTACAATTTTCTCAAAGGCCTGAAAACTGCTCCAGGAATTAATCTCCATCAAAGCACCAGAGGACACTACTCAAATGCAAATCAGCATCTCAAGGAAGGGAGGAGTTAACCATTTTTGTCCACTAACACCTGGTGAATGGGTCTGTCGGGTGTGGGAAGGGGACGGATGTGTACCTGAGGAGGAGGGATTTGCAGAGGACCTACTCCTGTTTTCTCTCAGTAAACAGCACCACCGCTACTAAGTTTCCCAGTGAGGAACTCATGAGTTACTCTGGATTTCTTCCTCTCCCTCACCCTGCACATTCTGTCAGTTACAAGTTTAGTCCTGTCTTCTTTAAATGTTCTCATGTCTGCTTCGGTATCTCCATTCTCACAGCTCCTGATGTAATTTGACCATTTCCTACTCTCTAATGGTACCTTGTACTGTTCAACTTCCTCACCCGCCCCCAACCGGGAAGTAATATTTGCCTTGCATAACAAAGAGCAAGCTTTGGGAGATTTGGGAGGGGAATGGCAGACCAGAAGCAGTTTAGGAATGGCTTGATATGTTCAAGGAATCCAACGGAGGCCAGAAATATAGAGTATACAGACTGAAAACCAATGACACACAGAAAATGCCCATGTTCCACCGGAAGCCTTGTGTGTCAGTGGTTAGGACACAAGGAGAGAACTTGGACTGGGAATGTGGCTCTGTGGAGAACCTTACCTAGCATGCCAGAAGCCTCAAGTTCTTTTCCTAGCAACACACACACACACACACACACACACACACACACACACACAAGAAACCTGACGTGGGATGAGCTGTATCCCCTAAAAAAGTATGTTGTAGCTTGATCTCTTGGCGCCTGTGACTGTGACCTTACTTGGAAAGAGGGTCTTTGTAGGTGAAATTGGGAGGTAAATTGACTGAAGGACCACACACAGAAAAGACAGGAATATGAAGATAGAGGCAGAAGTTGCAGTTATGCTGCCAGAAACCAAGGACGCCAAGCATGGCCAAGGATGATGACCCCTTCCTTCAGCAAACTTTAGTCAGACTCCCCTCAGCTGGCTCCTCAGTGAGGCCTCCATCCTGGACTGCTGTACCCAGATTCAGCAAGGAACCTGCTAAGTCAGCTTAGCGGCAACGCCCCACCTGTGACACCTGACCGAGTTCTCCGTCCTTCATCCTTGATATTGAAGTCCTTGGCCTTCCTTTTAGCAAGGATTCCCAACTCTTGATAGCTAATCATGGACCTTTTAATAATATCCCATCCAAATGAGGTAGAAGCAACAAAGATAAGTAAAAAGGAGACAAGGAAAATCATAGTTTTAAAATTGTATTTTTAAGAAAAACACAGTTACCCAAGGTTACAATGCTCTTTTTTCTTTTAAGAAACTAAAAAAAAAAAAAAAAAAAAAAAAAAAAAAAAGTTCCTAAGGGTCTTAAAGAGGTGATAAGGATGCAAATTGGGCTTGTGCTTTTTACCTGTAAATTGCTCTTCCTCCCACAGACTTCCATCCTGAAGAAAGCACTATTAAGTGGGCAGCAGAACTCTAAACTTCATACACTTCCAAATGGCTTGCATTCTAGCATAGCCTGCCAAATGGGCAGTCTGCTGACAACAGGAATATACCCTACATCACCCACCTTTAGGACTCCCCAAGACTGCATGAAAAACCCAACCCTGGATCATAATGCACCTCTCTCAAGGGCCTGTACCTGTTCTTTCTGAGCTTTAATTCTGCCTAAGGAAACTTGCTATGCCTCTCACTAACATGTCTTGAAACGCTTTTCTGTAACATAAGTCAACAAACCTATCACATACCCCATGGGTGGGGTGAGTTGAGGTCATGTCCTTTTTGGGTACCCCTCAAGCCCCATCTGGTGACTCGCTGACTGTGCTCGTTGACTACAAATCCCCTCTATCTTTGCTGCTGTCTGGAGTTGAGTTCAATCTCTCTCCTCCTTCACAACAGTCTTAAATGAATTCTTCGCCATTTGTAGCAAGCATTCTGTATAATCTTTTCCCCTTAACTATTGGCCCTCACCAAAAGCTAGTAAGAGGCAAGGTGTGGCCTTGCTGATAACCTTGACTTCAGATTTGTAGCCTCCAGGGATGTAAAACCATAAATGTCTGTCTTTGTAACCACCCAGTTTGTGGTACTTTGTTGTGGCCGTCCTGGGAAAGGAAAGGAACGCAGGAGCTAGCTCAGGCATTTGGCCTGTGCTCAAGGCATACCTTTTGGGAGTAGCTGAGGGCCTTTTCCATCTCGGCTGTGATGGCATTGATGTCATCACTCTCATAAATGCCTGGAAACAAAGCACACTGTGAGCGCTGGGGAGGAGGCCGGGTACCAGGTTCCATGCCTGGGTGCACTAGGCCATGTGGAGGCAGTGACAAAAGCCCAAGAGTCAAGGTGAGACATCCGTGGGCTGAAGTGACCAGCCCCCACCCCAACGCTACCCAACGGTGAGTGGTCAAGCAGTGGGGCTGGCCAGGGACCCAGTGCCCTGCCACCTACCCACAGGAAGAGTGGGTTAAGTGCCAAGGTCTTTCTGCTTTAGGGAAGTAAAAGACCCATCCTGGGACTGTATATAGCAGCCAAGTCTGTAGTGAACACCAGTGTCTCGTTCGAGAGGGACTTCAGTTGTGATGGCTACAACACCAGACCTGAATGTTGGCCTGCATGGGCTCAACTCTTGGCCTCTGGGCTCCACGTCTGTTTCCCATCTGCAGAATGGGGCCAATAATGAGCTACTTCACAGGGTTATTGTGAGGAGTGAGTCGTAACATACGGAAAATGCTTAAAGCTGTGGCTGGAATGTAAAAGCTGGGCTATTATAGTAACAGTCACTGGTAACTGTACATACCCAGGACTTTTCATGGAAGGAGAGAGCTGGGAAACACCCCAGACTTTCAGCACCTGTTATGCCACTGACCTCATGTGTGTCATGTCTGGGAGTCACAGTCACCCCTGCATCTCAGTCACTGCTATGTCGCTGTTGTGGTTTTTGTGTCAGTGCACCTTAGCCATGATTCACTTCGTACACACACACACATAAGGACATTCATGTATGTGTGCACACATATACATACATATATTTAATACATTCACTATTTGTTTACTTAAAATTTGTTTTAAAAAGAAAACTGACGTCACTGGCAGCAATGGAAAGACAGCCATTTTTGTATGTTATGTTAAAACAAGCATGTAACTAGCACTCACATAAAAGCTGTATCATTTACAACTAACTGTGAGTCACCTGTGGACACCCCACACTCTGGGGAATGCCTTTTTTTTTGGTACCAGGGATCAAACTTGGTTCCTTGCACTTGTGAAGCAGGTGGCAGAACCACTGAGCTAAATCCCTGGCCCTGGGGAAATGTTAATCTAAGGGATCTTAAGGTCCTTTCTAGATCTGAGATTTTAAAATATTTTTCAAGCTTTACCCTAAAATTTTTTTAAAAATGTAGTAAAATATTCCATTTTATTTGTGCTAGGGATCAAACTCAGGGGCTTGTACACACACAGCAAAAGCATCCAATCTGCTACTGAGCTACAGCAATCAGACCCGAGTTATTTGTAACTGTACAGCTCAGCAATGTTAAGTACATTCAGGCTGTCGTGCAACCATTGCCACTGTTCATTTCCAGAACAGTAGCTTTGGTTTGATTTGATTCTGATACTTGGGACTAAAACGGGGCCTCACAATGATAAACATGCTCTGCCCCTAGTTTTACATGTAGATTTTAAATATGACTTTCAGAGTCTGCTTTTTGTATCTATGGCACAAGGGAGCTATGTTGGTGTGGAGACGACCATCCGGAAAGGGGCAAGGGGAGGGACCAGGCAGCACTCACACACCTGTGTCTCCAAACCAGTGGAAGCGGCCACCAGTAGCCCGGGCGACCTCCCTGTAGGCACTGGCTGTGTCCAAGCGGCTAGCATAGCAGGCAGGAGGCAAGCTGTCCATCTGTGGCTCACCCACCGAGAAGAGACACACGTTCAGCTGCAGGTCGCAGCCCCCACAGCTTTCAGCCATGTAAGCACTGAGCGTGGGCTGTGGGGAAGAGAAGACAGGGTGGGCCCACCGCTGAGGGCCTGGGAGTCTCCTGCCCATTCAGCCTAAGTGATTTGTTCTACTCTTTCTCTCTCCTACCCTCTTTCTGTACCAGAGGTTGAATCCAGGGCCTTAACCTTAACCTACATCTTCCGCCCTTTAAAAAATTATAGACAGAGTTTCACCAAATTGCCCAGGCTGGCTTTGAACTTGTGATCTTCCTGCCTCCCTCCCAGAGTGCTAGAATTACAGGTGTGTACCACTGATAACTTCCCAGGAGCCCACTGGGCCCCCGGCCTAGTCCCAGAAAGAGACGAGTCTGGGTCGCAGTTTCTCTCAGCATCTTAACAGGTATGATGAGGAGCTGGACCCGAGAGCTTGGTTCCTCCAAGCACATCTATGGTCAGGAACATCGACATCTCAGTGAGCTTGTCAGAAACACAGCTTCTCAGTTTCCCCCCAGGCCTGCTGGACCAGATTCCCAGGTCTACAGACACGTTATAAAGTTTTAGCGGGGTTGGTTTAGAACATCATGCGGGGCTGGAAATGTGGCTCAGTGGTAAAGCTTTTCCCTAGCACGCACAAAGCCCTGAGTTCAATCACTAGACCACAAAATAAAAAAATAAGCACATAAATAAATAGATAAGAATAAAAAATCATGCTGGAGAAATCACGGTGAGGCATCCACCTAGGGGAAGAGGGACAGGGTCACAAAAGATAAGAGATGCCCAGGATAGTCAGGCCTACCCACCACATCCTGGTCAGGGATGCCTCCCGTGAGGAGGTAGATGCCCTGCGACTGGTGTCTGTCTTTGTCCCTGAAGTCCACTTCCACAGCTTTCCGCAGGGCGCTGAGGACATTTCTGCTGCCCTGACACTGCAGGCCCAGGGCCCACCTGGGGAGGAGGCAGTGCAGGTGAGGGAGAGAGGAGGGCAGCAGACAGAAAGCTGTTTCCTGACTTCCGCTCCCCCCGCACCGGCTTTTGGAGGGTGGGGACCCGGGAGAGCTACTTTCTCTTGGACACAAAGATGGAAAAGGCATAGCTGCCCTCAGGCACAATAACGCGAGGCCTCTGTCGCCCACCTCCAAGCCCTCTGTAAATTGTCGTGGCTCACAGGAACCATCTCAGGCCTCCAGCTCTCGACTGCGCTTCCAAATCTGAGAAGGAAGCACAGGACGGCTCACGGTAGTGTGTGTTCCCTCTGCGGCCCAGCTGTCATTGGGCTCTTTGGGCTTTTAGGAAAGCAAAATCCTGACAATCTTCCCTCCACCCCACTAAAAAAAATGAGGCTGTTACTAGAATGCCAGCTGAGAGATTTTCTCGCTGGTCACGATCCGTCGTCACGATCCGTCCCGGCAAATTCCAGGTTGGGCAGAGCTGAGGCTCAGGTGACCCAGCCCAGAGCAAGGGCCCTCTTTGGTCAGCCTCCTTCCTGACACTTTACACTGATGGTAGCAAGTCTGTGCTTCCTGCAGTGCAGGAAACTCCTGGGCCCGGTCTGTAAATTCTCCACCATCTGGAGTTTGTGTCCTGCACAAGTCTGTCTCATGACCGTGTCCACACCGAACTACCTAACGGCCACCAAGTTCCACCCTCTGCATGCCTCTGCCTCTGCCCACGCTCCTCCACCCCACCTCACAGCATTCCCGAGAGCTGGGCCTGGTCAGGCTAAGGGGGCACCTCCTCTCCAGACCATCCTGATCTTACTGAGCTCAGCAGACGGACTGCCCCTGCCTTGGACACTCACTTTCCCACATCCTGCCTTCGACTTATTTCCACAGAAATCACTCTGTTGCACTTATTTCTTCTTAATAGACCTGGCTTCCCCCGCTAAGCCGTAAGTTCCTAGAGGACAGGTTTTGGGAGGACTTCTGAATGCCCAACGCCAGCACAAGGATTGCTATATGGCAAGTTTTCCATGAACTTCATCACATGAGTGGATGGGTCTATAGGGGAAAACATTAAAAATGTTTCCCTAAGCATTTGCACGCTTTTTTGTGTGTGTGTGTGTGTGTGTGTGTGTGTGTGTGTGTGTTACTAGAGATTGAACCCAAGGCCTTCACACTGAGCCCAGTCCTTTATTATTTTTTATTTTGAGACAGGATCTCAAAAGTTAATAAGTTGCCCAGGCTGGTCTGCAACTTGTGATCCTCCTGCCTCAGCTTCCTAGAGTGCTGGGATTACAGCTATGCACCACTATGCCTAGCTCTCTAAACATTTTTATGTAGAACTTATTAGGGGATGATAAAGCTCTGGAATGATTTCTAATAAAAACTGCTAACTTCAGAGTCAGAATATGCCCTATTTGGCAGAAATCATGTAAAAATGTATATTGTATTTCAAGTGGTTTCTTTTCTGGCTTCTTCAATTAGATTAAAAGGTATGCAAAAGAACTATAGATATCACATAAGTACATGTACAATTTTAAAACTAATATATAACAAAAATTTAAGAAGCCATATATGTACATATAATTACATATTATATATAACTTTTAAAACTATACGCAATTTATATAATTTTAAAACTATACATATTACCTATGCAATTTTTTTTTTTTTTTTGGTACCAGGGATCGAACTCGGGTCCTTGTATTTGCGAGGAGGCAGGCACCGGAACCACTGAGCTAAATCCCCAGCCCTACATATGCAATTTTTAAACTATTATTTTAAAAAGTGTCTACCCTAGATAAAATTTAAATTTTATGTAAATTTTAAGTTTAAACGGTAAATTGGAGTTCTACAGGCTCAAAATAGTACGGCTTGCTAGAACCAGGCTGAGGCCTGAGACAAAGACCGGGCTGGGCTCCTCCTTTTTTCCGTTATTTGTAGGCTGAGAAGCCAAATGGGGCAATGGGCTGAATTACTTTATCCTGGCTGATCAAGCAGTGTGTTTTGGGGCCACTTCTCACCTTCGCCCCGGTGGGACAGACCTGCTACCATTTAATTATTCAACGTCCCAAGCAAGATCGCCCAAGTCAGATAAACCGAGGGACATCCTGGGATGCTGGGCGCGGAGGATCAGGATGAGGCCTGGAGATGCACACAGCCCCCGCCGCCACACCCCCTGCGCGGAGACCTACGCCACCAGGTTGAAGCAGTCCTTGTTGGACAGCTGCTCCTCCAGCAGCAGCCGCAGGGAGTGCTGGATATGAATAATGAACATGGAATTGGCCACGGAGATATCGAGCAGGACAACCACCCTGAAAAGAAACACAAGCTTCGAGGAGAACCGAATCTCTCAGATAATGTTCGTTTTGTTCCATTTTACTATTTAAAGTTTTTTCCACGGAGACTTTGCCAGATTCATGGGTGGCCAAAATCTTTTTTTTTTTTTTCCACTCTTTTAGTTATAGTTCTTTGCTGTTCTTTTCTATAAAAATTCTCAAATATTTGTTTCTTGCCATCACCAGTGAGCCAAACCGGCTCTCTACCACTAATCCGCACTCTACATGGTCAGTATTGGTCTTCTGTGTCAATCCTAGGAGCGCTTCTCAATCCTCAGACTTTTTGCTGTTGCACTGAAGACAGTGACCTACTTTTCTCGAAGCAACTATCTCCTCGGGTTTCACGACATCACACTCTCCTGGTTTTCCCTTTCCTCAATCTCCTGTTTAGAGACTTAACCTCTATATATTTTGAAGTCTCTCTGGGCTTAGTCCTGGAGTTTCTCTTGACAACATCTTCTTCGGCGATTTTACCCTTTTTATGGTGGTAAATAAGATGGTCCCCATCTTATCATGATTCAGCACGAGACTCTTTTCCTTTACAATGGGATCAAAATGTCAGTAGAAACCATACTTCAAATTTTCATCTTTTTTCCTGATTAGCAAAATGTGACATGATAACCTTTTGATGCCTGGCATTGCCTGTACAGTAAGTAACACATGGGCGTCCGACCCCTTGGCTTGCTTGGAATGCACTGAAGGATCACCTTGAGCCACATATATAAAATATACAGTACACTTAATACATACAAATAACACATTTTTTTTTTTGAGGCAGTTTCTCTATGTCCTCTGGGCTCATCTCAGTTCTGATTCAGACTTCTGAGGGCTGGGATTACAGACCTGTACTATCATGCCCGAGTAATCCTTTTAATATTAAGACAAAGACAAAATAACACAACTAGCTGAAGGGCTCGGGCTGGACACTCGTCAGTGTATGTCTGGCAGAGCTAGGTTGTTCAGTAGTTAGGTGCTATTTTAAATACACTTCATCTATGATATGTCCCATTTACAACAGGTTTATGACAGTGCAACTCCAACATAAGCAGAGGGCCCCTTGTACTATACAGCTTATGTTGATGCACAAATTTTTATCTCTCGGACACAGGTCACCCGCGTTCCAACTGTACATTTGTTCTTTAGTTGGATAACTTGGACTTTGGGTTTTTATTTTGTGTTTTCTGTGATGGAGATGAATCCAGGGTCTCATTGGGGCTAGGCAAGTGCTCTGCCGCTGAGCTCCAGTCTCCAGCCCTTTCCTCCTTTCTTTTAATTCCCATCTTCACAGGATTTTTGAAAACACCATTCAAACTGGAAACGCCTATGAGAATCACGTGACCAAATCTGTCCTTAATGGTACTCCGTAATTCCGCTGCCATACCACCCTGCCTCACGACTCTGCCTCCCAGCCAAAATCTTCACGGTTTGACACCAAAAGAGGTGGGTTTACAACGGTGGACCAAGGGGGCTGTGGAGTCTTCACTCCTGGGGCATTTCATAGCTGAATAAAGTCTCTCAGTAGAGATAGGAGAAGGGTCTGGGACTGCACATAGGGTTTTTATAAATTTGTTTTAAAGCATTTGATTTTTTTTTAATAGGGAAAACAGAAATAAGGTGAGTTAGTACTATGTGGGCCTCTTAAGAAATATCTCTTTCTGTTTGCACTCTATTTTAAGATCTCCAGCCCCTTCCCATCTTCCTTGCCTTTTACTCTTTCACACCTTATATTTCTACTTCCTCCTCTCGATTGCCATTTGGCGACGGTTAGGGGTAACAGAAAATCCACTGGCTTTAGAGTCAGAAGACCTTCATCCAAGTCTCATTTCCTGCCAGCCGCGAGGCTTTAGGCAAGTCACAAAACCTCTCTGATCTTTGATGTAGCACTAGACTATAAGCTTCCTTATAGGGTTGCTTGAGAATTAAATTATATAATAGATGTATAGTATTACAAAGTATAATATTTGGTAAATGGTAAAGCAGCAAATAAAGTATGGCATGATAATTATGGCTGTATTTGAATATTGTCTCCCCCTGCTCAGCATTCATTTCCTCTTCTGGAAACACTTTTCCTCTATCAGTCCATTCGAGGTGGGTGAGGATGACTCTTCTCCAAGCCTCATCCTCCCTGGCCACAGTGAACGGCCCATGGGTGGGTGATGCCCGCGCACTGGGTGTGCTAAACTGGTAGAGTGCAACTCTGGAGCTTCGGACACCCGGCAGGGAAAACCTTCCCACAAACAAAGCCCAAAGCCTACAGACAGAAGGCAGGGCTAAGAGAGATTCCTGACACGGGGGACCTCTGGATCCAGCCATGCCTAAAGACAGCTATCAGAAGGTACCTCTTTTCGCAGATGGTGCCCCAGATCCTTCTGCTGGCCAGGGAGAGCCACTCGACCCGCCTCTCGTACATCCGCATGGCTCTGCTGAGCTGTTTCTGTGAAAGCACGGAAAGCATGGCCCCATGAGACCACTCAAAGGTGGACAAGGACGAGATCCTGGGGAGGAGAAGAGCACTCTACATGCCAGCCGGCTCTGGAAATGGTGGGCCAAGCCTCTGGGTATCCAGGCAGTGTGAATATTCTACTAAGTCACAGGAAAGTCTTCCACAAGAGTAGGACAGGAAGAACTGAAATACAGTGGACCCTTGACTTGTGAACTCAATTGGTTCCCGAGGGCTGGTTGTAACTAAGTCAAGACAGCTGAGATCTGGATGTTTACCTGGGTAGCGCTATAGATAGCAAGAGGCAGATGACTCTTCCATGAACCTCATTAACCCAAGTTGTTCGTATGTCAGGCCGGTTGTAACTCGAAGGTCCACTATATTTCATTGTGCTAAATGGGGGAGGAAGTAGATCTTGCCCCGGAAGATTAAAGACTCTTGTTTTGGGGCACCCAGATCCCTGCTTGGGGCAGTGTCTAGGTGAGGCACATAGCCATTCTCTCTTTACCACCTACAAAGTTAAATCAATGGCTTGGTATCTTCACAGCCCATGACATCTTCCCAAACATCCTATTTTTTGTTTTTTTGAGACAGGTTCTTCCAATACAGTTCTTGAACTCACTATGTCGCCCAGGGTGGCCTCGAGCTCACAGCACTCCGCCCGCCTCAGTCCCCGGGCCCTGGGATTACAGGTGTGCGCCACCACACCGTGTGGTGTAACACATACTCTGACTGGTGGACTCATCGCTGACCTGGTATTCGGAGAGCAAGGGTGGATCCACATGGACATTTTTCACCGTCCCGTCGTGCCACTCGAACTGTACCATTGCCTTCTGCACTCAGGTGGGCCAGAGGGGGACAGGTGAGGACGAGCACACATGAGAAAGAATTGAAATTAGAGGACTGGACTCTAAATAAATCAAAATAGGCAGGAAAACAGGCTCTGCGCCCATCTGGGCTGGATTACTCTATCTACTTGCACACATACCACCAATTCACCTGTGAGTGGTAGCCTGAGCAGGGGCTGGAATCACCACCACCCGGTGAGCCCTGCCTGCCAGCCTGCCAGCCTGCCAGGCTGTACCTTGGAAGGTTATTCTGAGCCATTAGGACATTATGGGAGGGACTGGGTAACACTGCACAGGGCCAGAGATCTTAAAACATAATGGCCATGGCCGTTGTTATTATTATTATTATTATCTGGGATCGGGGCTGAATCCAGGCAGGCCCTGTGCATACTAGACATGTCATTGGGCACAGGGCCACACCCGCCCTCTGTGGCAGAATGACAGCATTCTAGCACCTGGGTACAAAAGCCTCAGGCCTGACTCTGCGTGAATAAACAAGCAGATGGGAACCGCAGCGGGGAGCAGAGTACTTGAAGTCCGGGTTACCTCGTGGATAGTTGATGATACTGTTTTCTGGAGAATAGGCACAAATTCTTCTACAGGAGAGAACGCATTGGGTGCCAGAACCTGATAAAGGCTTAATTTCTTGGCTGAAAAAAATAATGGAGTTTGAGGTGCTGCCCAGGAAGCCCTCAAGGGTCTAAGCCTTGTGGTCAGTCATGTGTGCCCTGGACTCTGATCTCTTTGGAGATTTACCTTTTAGGCCATTGACCTTTAGCCATTCTGCAGAAGTCTTTTCCAGGTTTGGGAACTCAAGAGTGAGAGGAGTGTCATGCTTTGGGGGTTTAGGCAAGAGACTTGTGAGCGATCCTTTTGTATACCCTGTGGCAATCTAAATGAAATTAGAAAAATCTAATTACATGGTCATGGGCCAGGGATTTAGCTCAGTGGTGCCATGCCTGCCTCGCAAGCACAAGGTCCTGAGTTCAATCCCCGGTACCAAAATAAACAGATAAATAAAATGATCATTTTGGAGCTGGAGCGTTTTAATTTCCTCCACTGGCCCAGTCCCCTACGGGAGCCCCTGAAAACATTACCTGGAGTACTGCAGGCAGTTCTGCCTTTCTCCTCCAGCTTCCTCAGCCCTTCTCTGCAGATCTCTGGAACTCCCAGGGACAGGGAGCTGTCCCCCCTCACTTGCTCCCTCTTTCACCTGCCCCCTTCCTGACTGCCTCCCTATCCTCACCACAGACTCCAAGCTAACAGCGGCGTCCCCCTGTGGGCTAAGGGCTTTGGGAAGCTAAGAACTGATTTCCACACCGAATCACTCAGGGAGACCTGCGTTAGCCCTGTCTCTCCTCACCCACAGTCGGGAAGCAAGAAACCGAGGCTCTGCGCGGCTAAGTCACAGCCAGTGTGTAAGCAGCGCAGAGAAAGGCAGGCCCCACACGTCAAACAGCCAGCCCCACCTACTTCCTGCATCACACGGGCCAGCTCCTCACAGGGGCTGCTCTGGCGCAGGGCTCTCACGCGGCTCAGCAGGTCCTCGGCCTTCTGCAGTTCTGCCAGGAGCTCATCCACATCCCGACTGGTGTAGAGCTGGGGATGAGCAGAGTCATCAGCCCTCTGGAGGTCACTTGGCTACCAGCAGTGGCCAAGGCAGGAAAGGAAAAGCAGTCAAGTCAGCTCCCAAAGCCGAGGGGAAATGTGTTTAGACCAGAGAGGGCAAACTTGGGTCCCCATGCTAGATACAGCCTGTGCCACGTTACCTGGCGCTTTGACCTGGCCTGCAGCACTTTTAACACCTGAAGGATGTTCTGACTTTAAAATCACAAAGGAAGTCTGGAATGGTGGTAATCCAAGCACTCTGGGAGGCTGAGGCAGGAGGATCCCAACTTCAAGCCCAGCCTGGGCAACTCAGTAACTTAGTGAGACCCTGCCTCAAAAAGCGGGGGGGTACAAAGACCCCAGGTTCAATTTACAGTACTGAAAAAAAAAAAGGAAAAGCATGGGGCAGGGGATTTAGCTCAGCGTTGCTGCACCTGCCTTGAAAGCACAAGCTCCTGAGTCTGATCCCCGGTACCCAAAACAAAACAAAACAGAATGAAGCACTGCCACCTGCTGCAATAGGAATGAACTTTGAAAACATCAGGCTGTATGCAGAAGCCAGACACAAAAGGTGCAGGACTCCATGTATATGAAATGTCCAGAGCAGGTGAATCCACAGGCAGGGAACAGGCGGGTAGAGCACCAGGAGAGGGCTTGGGGAATGAGACTGTTTGGAACTACATCGATGGTGGTTGTGTGACACTGTGAAGGTACTAAACGCCACCGAGCTGTTTAAGGCCATTCACTTCATTTATACAAATTTCACCTCAATTTTTTTAAAGATAGAAAATAATCCATATTTCTGACTCTTTTTGAAAAATCACCAGACCTGGTAACGCTGGCGCTATTTTACTCCACTTAAAGCCTGTGGTAATTTTTTCTTTACTCATCTCTGCATCAAGAGAATAACATTGATAGATAACAGATAAGAGAGACAGGCTTTAAGATAAAGTAGTCATTGGTTATTGTTGTTGTTTGTTTATTTGGACAGTCTTGCTCCATAGTCCAGGTAGCCCAGGCTGGCCCTGAACTCAAGATCCTCCTGCCTCAGGCTCCCAAGTGCTGGGGTCACAGGTGTGCGCCACCACGGCCAGCAAGATGAAGTATTTCTTAAGCCAACCAGTTTCACTCCTTTTCTTCACTTTCCTAGTCCCTGTGGCCTATACACTTACACAGTCTAGGCAATGAGGTTGTCAGGAAAGGGCGCTGCCTGATCCTGATTTTTCAGCGTGAAAAAGACTGATATCGGAACACCCTGCTGAGACACAAGCGCTTGCCTGTGTCCCTTGCAGCGGCAGGGGTCTGTTTAGGAGAGAGGATAGAGGCTGTTGCTTCAGACTCAGTGCTGCGGTGGGAGAAGAGGCAGGCCGGGCTGTACCGGTACCAGCTGGACAGTGACGGGAGATTCCAAGCCAAGCTGGGAAAGGGCTACAGATTCATAAGCATTCAATCAGCTTGGCACACGTGCTGACCACAGGAGCGCTTGTGGTTTTGCGTGGTCCCCATCCTTCCTGTGTACTCCTTTTAACCCAATTTCACCTGTGTAAACTCACTGAGCACGGGCCGAGGGAGCACGCGGTGTGCTGCCTGCGCTGGCCCAGGCTCCCCGCACACCCGTGGAGGGCAGTAAGTTGGCAGCGGGCTCACCTCTGTCTCGGGGCTGTAGCAGTGGTAGTGCCCCCCGAGGGCTTCCGCAAGGTTCTTCAGGACAGCCTGCGGGGACAATGACGGGGTCATCGCTGGCCAGGTCCACACCGAGACTCACAAGCCTTCCATCCCTCCCATGTCTCCTATTTCGCCAGTGGGAGAGGTGGGTACAGAAGTGCTCTGCTCACATATGGGCGTCCTGTCCAGGCCTAGCCCAGGTCACTGTCACCAAATCCCACAGAGCTTTGCAGCATCTCAGATACTCACGGCAGGCACCTGATCGCCACACTGGTAGGTGATGTGGTGGGTGACGAAGCTGCTTCCCACTGTAGACTGCTGAATATAGTCTGACAGAATTTCAGAGGGCTGGTCTGGGCTGGGCGAGGGGAAACAGCAGAAGAGAGGTGAGCCAGTCAGGTCTGCACTTTGAAAACACTGAAGACCAAGCGATAATTCCCAGGGAACATCTACTCATGCTTTTTTTGAGACAGGGTCTCACCACACACTTCAGGCTGGCTTTGAGTTCACTATGTGGCCCACACTGGCCTCGAACTCATGGAAATCCTCCTGCCCCTCCACCTCCCGAGCGCTGCGAATACAGATGTGTGCACCACACCTGGCCTCGACTACTCAATCAACTCTCTAATCAACTGCTTCTATCTCAAGCCACCTGTGTAAGATGCAGGACCAGGAGCGCACGCCTGAGATCCCCAGCACTCAGAGGCCAAGGCAAGAAAATCGGGGCAAATTCAAGGCCAGCCTGGGCTGTATTGTGAGTTTGAGGCCAGCTTGAACTATGTAGTGAGATCCCGTCCCCAAAACAAAAAACAAAACAAAACAACAGAGTTGGGTGGATGGCGGGCCTGGCAGGCCTGGCCTGCCTGCCCTGCGTGTGGACGAGCAGCTGGTGAATACCATACTTCTCTCAAGTATTTGTGAAGAGCCAGGCTTGGTGACCTTTTCTCAAACAATGCTTTAGTTCTTCAACCCTTTTCATCAAATCTGTTACCCACTTGGGAAAGCAGACCTACCAGCTTCTCATTATGGTCACCAGGGAGTCCAGGCCTTGTAGAGTGAAGACTTGCTTCAGGGCTTGTAGTAAATTGCTGCCTCCTTCAGGCTGCAGTTTCTTTACCCAGAGCTTGAGTTCCTGTAGGCTGGAAGGAGACAGAAACGATTACCAACGAGCACACTTCTGGGAAACGCTTTTCTTTTCGGCAGTTTCAATGAGGGGTGAATGTCATGGTGTACCTTACACAGACCGAGGTGGCGTAGCCTACTACAGACCTGGACTTGTGCGTCCTCCTAGTGTGGGCTATGGGCTACAAAACAACAGTGAATTAAATCAAGTTTGAGCAAACTCTCAAGAGATGAGCCTGCTGCTGCTGTAACACAGTCTCACTGTTTACAGTAAACTTCTTTTCATGTAAGTAGAAGTAGTATTCTCTAAAATATCAGCACAAAGCATAATATAGGGGCAACTGGTGCAGGTTGGTGGCAGAGCGCTTGCTTAGCATGTGTGAGGCCCTGAATTCTAGTTCCAGCACCTAAAAAACAAAAGGTAACATAGTAAATACATGAACCAATAAGACAATTTATTATCAGATGGATTCAGCAGCATACACCTACACCTGTAATCTCAGCACTCTGGAAGACTGAGGCAGGAGGATCACAAGTTTGAGCCCAGTGTGAGGAACTTAGTAAGATCCTGTCTCAAAATTAAAAAAAATTGAGAAAGAATGAGGACATAGCTCAATGTAAAGGCCCTGGATTCAATTTCAAGACCACTAAAAAATTATTTTCATTACCAAGTGTTGTGTACTGTATAGAAGTGTACAAGCTCTACTTACACCCAACTGCAGTACAGTAGGTTTGTCCACACCAGCATGAGTAACGGTGTGGTATTCTGATGTTACCATAGCTACGCTGTCACTAGGTGACAAGAAGTCCTCAGCACCTTTATGCTCTTATGAGACCACATGAGATATATAGCCCCCTGTTCAACAAAGTGTTATACAGCCCAGGACTGTACAGGCCTTTTTCTAGGCATCAGGCCCAGGGCAAATATTAGCTCATTTAAACCTAATCATACTCTCTGAGGTGGGTACTTTTATTCCCACTTTATATATGAGGAAACTGAGACTCAGAGTTACGACTTATCCTAGGCGATACTGCAAGCAATTGGTAAGACCAAGATTTCCAAGCAGGACTGACTGTGGAACCCGTGCTTTGGTGCCTCTGGGATTTGAGAGTTTGGGGGTGAAGGCCTCCTTCGCAACACGCCCCATGCAGCTCTCCCAGAAGGCCAGCCTTAGCAGGAAGCATGGACTTAGCCTCTAACTAAGACAGCTCCAAGAGATGGTGCCATGGCTGTGTGGCTATGTTCTACGGGAGCCGGGATGCACACCCGTAGTGAGGGAAATGGCTAACTGCCTCACGTGGCACTAGAGGAACAGTTCCGCTCTCCCCATGTCTCTTTCAGCCTGAGAAAAAGTGAACCTCAAGCTGAGAATATAGCTCAGTGGTAGAGTACTTGCCTAGCATGCACGAGGCCCTGGGTTCTGTCCCCAGCTGTGCAAAAGAGAAAAAGAAGAAGAAGAATCTCAAGAAGAAGAAGAAGAAGAATCTCAGGTTGGTGCAAATAAGTCTGTCTTTTATTATTTAACATGTTAAGTTGCCTTTTTATACATTCCACAACCCCACAGTGCTGGGCATGGGGCCCAGAGCTCTGTGCACACAAGGTAAGCGCCCTCCTGTGGAGCTGCACTCCCTGCCCGGAATCTCCTGGATCAGAGAAAAAAGCCCCAGAGCTAACGCCTCTCCAGTCAGTAGGTTCCCAGCTGGAATTACTAGCACTGTTTTGCCTTCATTGTACTTTTTTTTTATTTTGGGTACCAGAGATTGAACTCGGGTCCTTGCTTTTGCAAGGCAGGCCACCGAACCGCTGAGCTAAATCCCCGGCCCTTCATTGGGCTTATTGTTATGGCTACTTTCTAATTACGGCAAGCGCCAAGTGGCTAGGGGCTTCTCTGTTATCGTACAGATAGAAAAGGTCCTTCCATAATAAATAAGTTGATCTAAAGAAAAATTCATAGTAGTGCAGGTAGCACAGAGTAAATAAATAATAGTAACATGACTCAGGTGGTATTTTCTCTATGTGCAAGATCTCCTTCTCACAGGCAGTGCTGGCAATCTAAGCTCAGGAATTAAAGCTCGACATTTTTCCTGGGATCTCATCTGAGCTTGCGGTCCAACTCAGGCTCTTACTCTGGGTACATTCCCTAAATCCAAGTGTCCTCATCTGCAAAATGGGGATCATAATCCTATTCCATGTGGTGGCTAGAGACATTAAATCCATCATGCACGGTACCTAACACATGGTGGGTGACCAAGGAATTCTCTTAACAAAAAAGAAATTTTTATATTCTGGCTCAAGTAAGAACTCTTATATACCTCCTTCCCATCATACAAATCCCCCAAAGGTAGAATTCCCCCAAATAAAGGACATCTATGCAGTGGAACACTACGCCAGCCATCGCAGGTGAAGTAGAGCCGTGTGCCCTGATAAGGACTGGTAGTCAAGACTGGGTGGAAAAGCCAAAGTGCAGAATGGTGCTACATGCTACTGCCTTATGTTTAAATCAGGGTACCGTGGAAAGACAGACGCATGTATGTGCAGACTGTGGAAATAGAGACAAGGAACTGTAATTGGTAGCCAAGTACAAGGGTATGTGTCTGGAGCTCCAGCTATCAAGGAGGCTGAGATGGGCAGACTGCTTGATCCCTTGAGCTTGATTTTTTTTTGGGGGGGTAGTGGGGATCGAATTCGGGCCCTTGCACTTGCGAGGTAGGTGGTGGAACCACTGAGCTAAACCCCTGGCCTGATCCCTTGAGTTTGAGATCAGCTTGGGCAACATAATGAGAGTCCCATCTCAAACTAAGCTAAACTAAACTATTCCCAGCACTTGGGAGGCTGAGGCAGGAGGACTGCCATGAGTTTGAGGCCATCCTGGGGTGAAGTTCAAGGCCAGCCTGAACCTCAGTGAAACCCTTCTCAAAAACAAAATGGAACAATAAAAATAAAAATAAAATAAACCTCAAGCCAGCAGGGTTGGATACTATTTGTAAACTAAATTAAACTAGGAGGTGAGGAGACTGGAGTGAGAGGGACAGTCATTCACTATTATTTATCATTTCATACTGTCTGAATTTTTAAAACATGGTTTATTTTCTTTTTTTCTTGGTACCAGGGATCAAACTCAGAACTCTGAGTTTGCTATGGATTATTTTCATAATAGACTATCTTTGCTAGTTTGCTGGATAGAAAATGGTGTCTTATCTTTCATTTAGTGGACTGCTCATGGGGTACATATCTTTCCAAAAATCACTGGCTGCCTGTGTTTCCGCTTTTGTGCATTGTCACTTTGTCGTCACTTTGGGTGCTGGGTTTTCACCTCAAACATTCATGAAGACACTGGCTCAGGGCGGAAGATGGAGAAGTAGGTGGCCTGGAGGAGGCAGGTGGCCACTCACCTGGAGGTTGTGACTTCCTCGGGGCCTGGCCAGAGGCGCCTGATGCTGGTGCCGAAGGACAGGACGTACAGCTTCTCCTTGAGGCTCAGCTGCTCGTCAACCAGGCTCTGCTGGACGAAAGGGTCGTAGGTATGAAATGAGTGCCCTGGACGCTGTAGCTGGACCTGGCTGAGGTGTGGCAGGGAGGGCAGAGTCGGGGGCGGTGGGTTCTCTCCAAGGCACGAGTCCAGGAGGGAGAAGCAGGAAGAAGCATGAGTGCTTTCAATGCGCTAAGCAGCAGCTGACAGGAATCCAACAGGAGCGGAAGCTCCAGCCTCTTTCCTGGCCAGCTAGCAAGGTCACCTGCCCGCCACCAGCAAGAGTCTTGCCGTGGCAGCTGACCCCCACCCGGGGACCCTTTGTGCCCCGAGAACTTGCACTGACCCTGTCCCCTGACCCTCAGTGAGACCTGAGCAGAGGAAAAACTGGGCGGCTGGTCACATCCAAGCCTGCAAACCTTTATGAAATCTGAGGGCCTATTGCTGCCATGGTCCCCATCCCAAACCCTAGGGACCTCCGTAAAAATACCTGCTCCACCTCACTCCGTAGAGATTACAGAGGTCCCTCTCCATGCCATACTCGGTGCTGAGCATTTTATTCCCACAAACTCTTTTCATCCTGAAGGGAACCCTGCGAGCCAGCCATGGTTCTCCTCTCCATCTCCCAGGAGGGAGCTAATGCACAGAGGTTCAGTTCCACAGCCCAGAGGTGGAGTAGGGGCTGGGGACCGACTCCAGCCATCTGACTCCAGAGCTCTGAGCTTTTCTATTTCGGATGTGGAAAAAAAAGAGAATGGATCAGCCCCCAACTGCACACCGTGCCTGCATCCTCTCTCCAGGAAGCCAGGGCCTCCCGAGGTGGAACCCAGCTACCCAGCTGAGAGGCACTGCTGTGGTGAGAATAGTAGTTCACAGTGCGACTCAAAATGACGTGTGTGTGTGTGTGTGTGTGTGTGTGTGTGTGTGTGTGTGTGGCAGGTGTTTTCACAGAATCCCACATATTCCTCTCTGCTGCAGGTGCTAATTAAGTGTGAATGATTTTGCATCTGCTGTAAACAAAGCCAGTTAGCAAGTGCAGCAAGCGGGTGGCTCCGGGTATTTCATGTGTCCAAGAGACTCACCGAGAAGTCGCTTTGGAATTCTTCCATCCCAGGGCCACTGCCGACCTCGGACACATCGATGAGGACAGCCACTCTGGTCCCCCGGATGAGGCCAAATGCCTAAAATCAAAGAGGACCGTGGGAGCACCTGAGCCCCACAGAGCAGCCCTGTGGGACACAGGGGTGGGCCGACCCTCATCTCAACAGAAGGCCCAGAGGGGAAAAGCCAAACTCAACGCCAGGACTCCTGCTCCCGGAGCCGTCTAGTCCAGGTCACAGCAGCAGCCTATTCCGAAAAGTTCTTTCTCCTTAGTATTTTGTCTCCCTTTCACAGAGTAACGCACACCTATTATGGAAAACCTGGCTCGTGTCCTTGCCTCCCATTTTGCGGACCCTCACGTTAGGCTCTCCCTTGCTCCTCCTCCTCCGAAGCCACACTCACCAATGTGAGCAATTCCCTCTCTCTTACCAAACTCGAGATCAAACCCTAGCTCTCAATCTTCTTGAACCCCGAGTAGCAGATGACAGAGTTCGACTGTGAATTAAGAATTTGGCAAGTTGAAACATTTAGTGCCCTTGGCTTTCAGTGTTCTCTTCACCCACTGGCCTGTCCATCTTCATCTCCTCTGCGGGACAGTGCCTCTGCCTTGTGCCCAAGTGTACACATCAGAGCGTCCCGGGAACGGTCGCCATTCCTGTCACCCAGGTCCCACCCTGGAATCACCGATTAGAGTCTATATCTTACGAAGTACCCTCTCCTCTCCTGGTGATCGAATAACATCACCCAACTAGGTGCCAGCACCACCTGCGACTCCCTCAAAGTACCCAGATGTCACTGTTCTGCTCTCACTGCCATCTCGAGGCAGAGCTCACGGTCAGGGATCATTTAGGTCCCTCCGCAGGAGGCAGCCCTCTCCGGGGACTCCAGACACGCTCAGCAGCCGCTCCACACCTCTGTCCCAATGTCTGGCGAGTCCTTCAGACTTTATCCGTCTCAGTCACTGTCTGGGTTGCTGGGACAAAGCACCCGGTCCCCACAACGTAAAGGAGAGTTTATTTTGGCTCAGTTTCAGTCCCTGGTGGGCTGCTCCAAGGCAGCGGCAGCGCGGGAGAGGCGTGCGCTGCAGGAATTATGCTCTCATCATGGCAGCTGAGGAGAAGAGCACACGGGGGACCTGGGGAGGGAGCTATGTCCCCGCAGTCACCTCCTCATAGCACTCTGGGCTCTGAACACACCATGGACTAACGCATGCCTCCAGGATCCAGTCACTTCCCACAGCCCACATCTGCACTCACGAGTCCTCTGGAGGACATTCGAGATGCAAACCCCAACATCTTGTGTTCCAGACAACGCCTTCTGCTCCCCCGCCCCGCCTCGCCATCTCTGCCTTTCTCTGCTCCTCTCTCTGCCTTTCCTACCTCAGTAAATGGCAATCCGCACCGGCCCAGGGACTCTGGCTCCACCCCGTCTGGGCTGTCAGCACATCCTGCCAGCTCAGCCTTCACCCTGTGCCTTGAGGTCCGCCATTTCTCATCCCAGCCACAGCAGCACCTGCGTCTGAGCCACCACCATTCTCACCTGGCCTGGTCTCCCTGCTTCCTCCTTTCCTCTCCGTGGTCCATTTACGCAGAGACCAGAGTGAAAAAACCCATCAGAGTATGTCAGGCCTCTGCATAATGTTTTACTCTTTAGAATACAGCTCTCATTTAGCAAAGTGTTCAAACAGAATATGGCTCTCCCTGATTTGCCTATGCAAATTCATCTCCTCCACTCTCCACATTCCTCCCTCTGAACTTAATTTCATTTCTTTCTTCCTTTGTTCCTTCGTTTCCCTCCTTCCTTCCTTTCTTTCTTTTCTTCAAGGTCTTGCTACATAGTTCAGGCTGGACTTGAACTCATGGCAAACCTCCTGCCTCAGCCTCCTGAGTTCTGGGATTACAGGAATGCACCATACCTGACTCCCTCTTTGCTTGCTACATGGGCCTGCCTGTTGCCTCTGGGACACATCATGCTTGTTCCTGTCTCAGGACCTTTGCATATGCTATGTCCTCTGCCTGGGATATTCTCCCCTCAGCCTTGGCATGACTCATTCCTTCATTCCCTTTAGGTGTCAAGCTTCTCTTCCTCACAGTGGTTTCCTTGACCATCCTGTGTAAGTAGCCCTCCTTCAGTTGAACTCTACAGCACAATCAATAAGCAATTTTGTATACGACTTGTTAATTTATTTGTTGATTATCCTTCCCACTGCATGGTAGCTCCAGGAAGGCAGGACCTTTGCACTGGTCCTGTTTGAGCCTCCATCCTAGAACTGTGCTTGATGTACAGTGATCAGCCAATAAATATTTGTTGAATTCATGATCCAAATGAAGCATGTGGCTTTCTGAAACATTGCCAACCCACAGAGGCCAGAGAAGCTAAAATTTAAGCCAGTTCTAGTCATTTAAAATACAAAAAGCTACCAGTAGAGTTTCACAATCTTCTTATTAAAAACATACATTCCCTTAAACCTAGCAATTAAAATTCTAGAAATATATCCCATAGAATAAGCGGTCAAGTACCTAAGAGGAGTTGAAGCCCAGCGATACCTGACATTCTCATCTATTTTTGTTTGCTTGTTTGTTTTTGAGAGAGGGTCACAGCTCTCTCAAGAGAGGGTCTTGAACTACACAGTTCAAGCTGGCCTTGAACTCATTATGTAGCCCAGGATGGCCTCGAACTCTCGTGATCCTCCTGCCTCAGCCTACCAAGTGCTGGGATTACAGCTGTGTTCTACCGTGCCTGGCCTTTCATCTTTTAAGAACAGTCTGAAAGCAGACATAAAAAGGGAAGAGCAGGATTTTTAAATCTTAGCAACCAAAACGAAAAATATTTCAGATGGTAGAACCAACATGGTTGTGTTTAGTTTGGGCCTGATGCACAGACACCAGAAAAGCAAGGTCACTTGACCACAGCCTTCCTGACAGAGAAGAGCAGGACCCGGGACCAGTGAAGTTCTTTCATCCGTCCAGGCTGCCTCAATAGCTAGAGCCTTGCGAGCTGATTAGCTGGTGACCACTTCTCTGGGGATCAACCTGGGCTCATCTCATGGCTCCTCTGCAGCTCTGAGAAGGTGGGGGAGAAGAAACTACCAACCCCACTTTGCCAAAGGTGCCAGGACAGGTGCGATGGGAGGGCAGTGCGAGCTGATATTTCTCCATGGTGAGGATTCTGTGCCTCTGAGGTCCTTTTGGACCGCGTTATCATAGACAAACAGAAGAGACTGGAGAAATACATCTGCAGACCATCTGAGCAAGGGAAGATGGTTCCGGGTCTGAACCAACTGCTGCCTGCTAAGTCAGCCTTAGCACAGTGCTGTCTCTGGTGGGTCTTAGGAGAGAGTGGCTTTGGACAAGGGGGCACAAACCCCAGCATCTGCCTTTCAAACAAGAGTTGAGGACTGTACCTAAGCGTGTAAGCAAATAGAGAGCCAGAAGATTATCAGTTGGAGGAAAATAAGCGAAAACAAATAAGAAAGCCAATCAAAGGTTAATTTGCCCATGATCATTCTTCTACCCTTAGTCTGAGGAAAATGTTTAAATTAATCTTTCAAGAAAAGTTACGTCCAGATGATCAGCCTTAATCATAAATCTTACTATGGGCCTGAGGTTAAGTGGCCTGGTGGACAACTGAGGCTCTCACCTGCCCAGGACCCATTTCCTCTTCTGGAAAGAGCACTCAGTTTTCCATATGCCACCGTCTGTCTCCTTCCTCGCTCCATGATATCGGGGTGGGAGGTGCTATGCAGTTCCCCCTATATCCTCCACGCCCTGTATTTTCCCAGGAAAAAACACAGATCCCAGCCTGGCACATTAGTGTATTTCATCTCTTGGTTATGGTGTTGGTCCGAATTAGTCTAATGAGAGGCAATCCCCGGATCTGGGAAATGTAGAGGGAATAAGAAAGGAGGTCGCTTTCAATTGCATCTGCCTAGATTGGTGACGTGTGAGTTTGGAGTTGCTGGCGACCATCTTCCTAAGCCTGGGGAGATCTGTCCTCAGAATAAAACCAAACCAGAGAAAAGCAGAGCCCAGAGACCAAGAACACCTGGATATAGTTGTTTCCGGGGGTTTCGTTTATGTAGGGTAAAGATTTCTTTTTTAGTTTAAATCAGTCTAAGTTGAAGATCTATCATTTGCAGCCCAAAGGGTTTTTTGGTTGTTGTTTGTTTTGTTTTGTTTTGCTTTGTTTTGAGCATGGTGCTGGGGACTGAAGGTGGGGTACTTTACCGCTGAGTACCCTTCTTAAAAAAATTGGGAGACAGTGTCTCACTAAGTCACTACGCTGCCCAGGTTGGCGCCTCAAACTTTCAATTCTTCTGCTCTGGCCTCTCAAGTAGTTAGGGCTGCAGGTCTGCACCATCACATCCGGGTCACAACAGAAGGGTTCTAATTATTGCAGACAGAGTGAGTGAAAGGGGGCGAAGAACCAAATCCACGCCTGTTACCTTCTTGCTGTTTTCCGTGAGCCACTGAATTCTCTGTTGATAGCGTTCAACAACTCTGTCAAGACACCGGAAAGACTTCATCACTAAGCAGCAGAGACACACGCGGAAGGTGTGGATGGGATGTTTTTCAATATATCTAAGGTTTGGGGAAAATAGAAGGCAAAATCTAGACAGAAAACTAACCACTGTCCAGATATGAGTTAGGACACCACATCAAGTGCCAAGGACATTGCACAAGGGACTGAGTGCAGGTGCTGCTGTGCTGGTGATGGGCTGAATCTCAGTGATGACCAGGGTTGGCGGGGGCAGAGTGAGCTGCAAAGTGAGGGCAGGGATGGAGGCTGGGTGCATGCTCAGGAGGAGGTAAGAAGACACTCTTGCATTTGCTTAAATCTGGGTCTGCTGAGGTGGAACGGTCCCTTGTCTCCTAGAAACTGAGTACCAAGACTGTTCGGCAGCAGTTTCTTGATGGATTGTTGAACAAAAATATTAATGTCTAAAATTAGCCAGGTAATAATGTCTTGAACTCCCCTTACTGCAAAGCAAACACACCATTCCAGTGGCCGGTGGGACAGGAGCACACGACAGGTGCTCAAGGTAAGGACCTGGTCACTGGAATTTAACTGACTAGTCCCCACTGAGGACAACAGGGTTTGGGGCCTAGAGATGTAAAATCCTGAGGCTAGGAGCAGTGGGTGAGAGCACAAGGGATGTGTGAATGCGAACACAGAGCTAGAGGATGCGTTTCATAAAGGGACATCTTGTATTCGAGGTCCACTTCCGCTGTGTAGCAGCTCTGCACTTACAGCGGGTGTGTGAACCTCCCCGAGTCCCAGCAACTCATCTTCAGCCAACCGGTAGTAACAAGGCTCTATCCAAGTCAAACGGTCAGAAGTCAATTTACCGAAAGCCGACTCTCTGAAAATCAGCCTGCCAAATGGCCAGCTGGCTGAACAGATTTGCAAAAGCCTTAGAATGCTGGATTCACGATTAAAGCCAAGCAACTAAAATATCGCAGAATTCTTTAAAACAGGTTCAACCTCTCAACACAGTAAAAATGATTATAGAATTTAGGGTTAAATATAAAATTGCTAAAGTATTTTGGTTAACTTGGCAAATCGAGTCAGGTGTGATGATACACAGCTATAACCCCAGAACCCTGGGAGCCTAAAGCAGGAGGATCACAAGGCTGAGCCCAGCCCAGTGACTGAGGAAGACCTTGTCTCAAAATTTAAAAAAGGCCTGGGGATGCAGATCAGTGTGAAGCTCTGGGTTCAAGTCCTAGACTAATTAGTGAGTTAGTTAACTAATAAATGAATAGGTTAGTCATTCTGCGAATAATCATTTAGCAATTGAGTTTTGGTTAACTGGCTGGAGAGTAATACAGTTTTCTGGGTTTTTTAAGGGTCAAATAAGATATGCATGCAGTCCTTAGCAGAATTTCTGACATGTGAATAAATATTAGCTGCTAATTATTATCATAGCCTTTCCAGAAACCGAAGGCAAATAGTAATTATGGATCACGGATTGCCATCGCTGGAATGTAATCGTAAAAAACCATCCTTTCTACTGACTATCCAGAGAGATGCGTGTGTGCATGTGTGTGTGCAAGTGTGCGAGTGTATGCACATATACTTGTGCTATTGAACTCAGCTTAGGAGTGAGATGTGTGCACATCTCTGACATACTTTTGCAAAGGTAAGGACCTAACCAGTGTGATGTTGGGAGTTGCCACTTTTAGGCCTCAATGCAGCTGTGAGGTTTTAGGTTTCAACCAGAAGGATGATGACTTTTTTTCAGTACTGAGGATCGAATCCAGGCCTTCCCACTGGGCTACACCCTATCACCCCCACACACACCTTAAATTTTAGACAGGCTCTCACTAAGTCACTAAACTTAGTCTCGATCCTCCTGCCTCGGCCTTCCAGAGTGCTGCTGGCTGAACCATGGATTTTAAAAAGCTGAAAGGCACTGATCTTGTCCAACCTTCTAATCTGAGAAAAGGACAAAGAGGTGGGGAGACCTACTTAAGGTTCCACCCTTAATGTTTAAGCACAATTGCTTTCAGCTGGGAAATTAGGCACTCTGGGTGTGGGAGGACATTGGGAAACATACTTACTCAGAAAGCTTTGATTCAAAGTGGCAGATGGTCTGAGTGGAGAAATGCATTTCCTGTGTGACACTGCTGCCCTCCTCCCTGAAAAAGCAAAATCTTATTAAGGGGCCTCAGGCCCAGGGCCTGGCTGTGTCACTACAGCCCTGGGGAGAGAAAGGAATGGTTTCAGACTTACAGCACAGCTGTGCCCTGGCTTATCAGGTCAGCCAAAGTGAGTTTCTCAAACTTTAAACTGTGAGTTGAAAGCCAGTCTTCACAGTCTTCCGATGCTGAAGACTGAATCTCACTTCCCTGCAGCTTCTGTAAGAGAGAAGCCAGAATCAGACCAGAAACTGTGGGAAGTTAGGATGCCCTTGGGTCCCTCTGCCAGGTTCCTGAAGATTGCAACTCAGGCAGATCCCACCTAAAGGTGTCTGAAGTTCTCGCCGAGGAAATACTTGCCATGGAGGCCTGTGCTGTGGATCAGTTGCCTTGGAAACACCACCTGTTCCCCGCTCCTTACCTCCAGTGTGTGGCCAGACCATTCAGTGGTTACTCACCTTGCCCTGCCTTGAGGCTGAATATACAAACGTACCACGGCCGCACAATATCACAGTAGGACAGTGGAACTCAATGTGACAGTGGCAATTGGCCCAGGATAATTAGGATTCGCTCAGTGACTGTTAGTTTCCCTATTTCCTTTGTCTCTAAACTCTGGACCAACTGGAGAAAGCCAAATACATCCTCCAAACTGATCCCATAAGATGCCTGCTTCTCATGAGCCTCCTCCAACCACTGCCGGTCAGGGCACACCCAAAATCTTACTCTCTTTTTCTCCGTGCTGGAGTGAGCTCTGAACAAAGGACCAGCTGGCTCACACGTGGACGGTCTTTGCTCATCTCCACAGTTGTTTTCTCTGTATCTTTTCAGGTGACTTCTGTTTCCTATCACCTAAGGGATCCTCAACACACAAGTGCTGGCCAACTGGCAGGAGAAGGAATGAGGTTATTCTGGCCATTCCAGCCTTCAGTACTGGGAGCAGTGGCTGAATGTGAGGAGCAAGAACCTCCCGGCTACCACAGGACTCCGGCCTCGGAGTAGACGGTGGCTCTCAGCCCGCACCTGGTGACACCTGTGCCACTTATACAGTCCTAAGCCCAGGATGTGCAGAGACATCTTGGTGGTGGAGCTGAGACCATTCACGCAGAACCCATACTCAACGTTGGAAAGGCTTTCTGGAAGCTGGAATGTACAGAGCCTTGACGTGAGACTCTGGGTCTGCCTTGTTGCAATCACATCTCTTCCTTCCTTTTTCCTGGGCATTTCTGAGTCACTACTATGAGTGACTGTCCTAGCCCCATGCTGGTGCCAGGGCTACTGTGTGACTAAGATAAAAGCTGTTCTTGCTTTCTTGGAGCTTGCCTTCTAGTGTGGCTGGATGGATAGCCAACAAGAAATGAAAGCGCTTTCAGAAAGGAATCATTCTATTAAGAAAATGGGGGCCCGGGATTCAGCTCAGTGGTTCCGCTGCCTGGCTCCTAAGCACAAGGTCCTGAGTTCGATCCGTGGTACAAAAAAAAAAAGAAAGACAGAAAGAAAAGAAAACAGAGTAGGGCAAGCTGAGAGAAAATAATGGGGTGGAGACGCGGAGGCCTCTTAGGTGGAGGAGTGGGTGAGAGGAAGTCTCTCGGAGCCAAGCCCTGGAGATGAAGGAGCTGGCCCTGTGCACAGGAAGGAAATGCACCTTCCAGGCAGAGGCGTGGAGGCAGGGAGGGTCTGGGTGAATGAAGACCAGAGCTGCAGCCATGTGCTGGAAGGGGGAGATGGGACACGAGAAGACGCTACAATGCCTTCCAGCGCGACTGCTGCCATTGGTGTGGCACGGAGGGCCCTGTGGGTTGCTCTCGCTCCTCTAAGGCGTGGAGTCCAGATCAGTCAGGCTGCGAGTCTGATGCCTCTGGGATGAGCCTGAGCACCGCTGGGCCCCTGGGGGCTGGGTGCAGACTCAACGATGCCACCTGGTACCAGCCTGAAGCCTAAGCGGGTTTTCTTTGGGCTCGTGTATGTCGGGGTTTTTGCTATAGTGAATGACTGGTGGGCGAAGAGTCAGAAACTCTGCTGCAGCTGGATGAGTTACTCCGCGTGGCACAGAGGACACAGAAGGAGGAACCAGAGGAGGGAGAGAGGGGGAGCAGAGGACAGGCTTGCGGCACACAAGGAGTCTCCGTGTGAGCCTTGCCACACAGAAGCTTCTTCCTTTCTAGGAAACAACGTTGCAAACTGTGGTGTAGAAGGTAAGTTTCTGCACAAACAGCTCCCCACAACGATTATTTCCCACTCAGGTTTGGTCATAAACAGGTCACCATAAAGCAAAGATAATAAAAGGATTCTGCTACCATATCCCAGGTCAGTAGTATATCAGCCTGCACACCGGCTCTGTCCCCACCACCCCTTCAAAAGGAAATTATCAAGTGTTAAAGAAGTATTAAAAAACCATTCAGAATTATAGCAAACACTGAAATAGCCTTTACTATATATTCAACACTTTCCCTATCTTAACTCATTCAATTCTACAAAGTAGCTTCCATCTTTATAACCCTATTTTATTGACAGGGAAATGGAGGCACAGAGAACTTTAGTCCTTGGCCTAAGGTCAGGCAGCTAGAGATGAAGTGGGGATTCTGTTCCAAGCTGTTAATCTCCAGTCGGTTTGTAACCCTAAGACTACACGGTCCCTCTAAATTAGCACCAAACTGTGATTATTCCCATGAAAGAAAGAAAAGGACTGGCAAGATAGCTCTTCTTATGTGAGTCACGCTACTGAAAGTCCTGTCTTTGAAATGCAAGGTCTAAAATCATCCTCCGAGTGCAACGCTTGCAAATTCCGTTCTGCATCACGTGCCACTAGATGTCGCTCTTTTCATCTTTCGGGACTCGATCTCCCTGGTTAGCACGAAGCATTGCAGAACTCACTTTCCTTGCATTGGAAATCTTTCATGTTTTAGGACAAGAATACTTTTATTTCTGTGCAGATGTGTACGTGGATTGTACATTACTCATATTTGAAGAACTATTAACCGCATTATTGATTATGACTGTAGACCCTGCTGTCTTTATACTAAAGCAGGTGCTTTCCTCAGAAGGGAAAACAGCTTTGTGATGGGCAGTCCTCTCCTTTTTTTCCACAGAGCTCTATTTCTGAGAAAAAGGAGGCCCCATTTGTGGCTGATAATGTAAGAGTGGTCCTTTGTACACCCGGTGAGTCATGTATTTTAATATAACATTAGATGAAATAAAGACCCATGTCATCAGCATTTGGAGCCATTGAAAGATTTCTTCAGAATCTAAAAAAAACCTATCGACCTTTCCTCATTTCCTTTTAATTAAACTCCTGAAAAGTCAGACATGATTATCTTTCTGATTGTTTAATTGCCAGCATAATAACTGTATCATTTTTGACTGATTATCATTTCAAAGGTAACATATTTAAATTTGAGAGTAGATTCAGAAATGATTATGGGCCTGCCTTGCCCCTTACAACAAGTGATGGCCATTGTTTTCAAGGTAGAACGAATTCAGTCCTCTTGAGAGGAAAGCTCATTTACATATCAAGAGTCAGGCTAAAACCACAGGCTGGTTATTCTACAGGTTGGCTTTCCTGCCATAAACGTCTCATTCCAACAGCAATACCTGAAACAGATTTCTAGGGTTTGATTTTAGGGAATCATAAAAGAAAAACAAATCTCAGGAAGGAAAAATTTAGACTTAGACTTAAATTAAATGCCTCAGACTTTAGGTTTTAATGACACGACCAGAATCTTACCATCTTCCTAAATATTTAATGAGGTGGCCAAGTAGGCTATAAATTTTCTGTAGATAACCTAGAGAGCCTTCATTTCTAAAGACAGGAGATTAGGGATGAATGATTAATTAATCTTTTTTATTCATGAATTCTATGTGAAGAAAGAAATAGCCAGAATTTAATATATTCTGCATTCCCAGTGTATGATCTTTACGCAAAAGTACTCAGTGAAAGCACTGTGGTTTTACCAGTGAGTCCTGTGTCTGGTTGACATGAGTACCCAGTAATCCATTGTCTGGATTTTGGCCAAGTGCATTCATATCCTTCTGGTTCAGTTGCTGCTGATGTTTGTCAGTGTTTCTCTTCATGCTAAAAAACACAAAGCAATTTGATCAATGCCACTGCTCTGGAAATTGAGTCTACACTACCAGGGTCTCCTCTCTTTCCCCTCGTTTCTAAAAGAACTTCAGCAGCATTTTATTTCTTTGCAGGAAACTGAGAGGGAGCCTACAGAGCCCTGGTAAAATATGGACTCCAGTGTCACGAGCCATTGCACTCTTTACAGTTAGACCGTGAAAGCCCTCGGGCAAATGGAAGATGTGACAATGACCATATCCTCTCAATTCCTATAAGCAAAATGTAGTTGCTTCCATTTTCAGTTGCAAAATTAAGAGAATCATGCTTTCCAAAGATTTTTCAGAAACATGTATCTTGACCGTGAAAGACACAGGACTAGTTTGTGTAACCATTAAAATACTCCACACTTATTTTCCCAAAGAGGAAAAGAATACAAGAGGACAGAGAGACAATGGTGTTGAGGGATTTGTTAGGCTTAACTCTTCTTTAATACAACAAATATTTACTGATCATCTGCTAGATATAAGGCATCGTGTTTGGCACTGAGCATATAATGGTGAATAAATTAACAAGGGTTTCTAGAGCTTGGCACATTCGGGCATTTGGGGGTGGGTAACTGTGGGCAGGATGTCCTGTGTATTCTAGAATGTTTAGTAGCATCTCTGGCCTTACCTGCTTGATGCCAACAGCAACTACTGCACTTCATTGCAACAACCACAAATCTCTCTAGCTATTGCCAAATGTCCCCTAAGGAGCAAAACTGTCCCTAGTGAGGATGATTAAGACAGTGTCCTTGTCCTTGCAGAAGCGACATTCTAGAGGGGAAGACTGATATTAAAATGTTTACAGACTGTGGCAGGTGCTCCGAAGGCAGAGAAGTATGGTAGAGTATGGTATTGGTATGGTACCATATGATAGGAAGTCACCAGGGAAAGATCTACTGAGCATAGGTGAGGTGATCAGGGAAGGTCTCTTCTGAAATCAGACCTTCATGAAGGATGAAAAGGAGGCCCTGTTAAGGGTATGGTGAAGATCCAGATGTAGCAGTGCACGCTTGTAATCTCAACCCTTGGGAGGCTGAGGCAGGAGGATCACTGCAAGTCTGAGGCCAGCCTGGGCTACATAGTGAGCTCAAGGCCAATACACACCACAAAACGAGGCTGTTTCAAAAAAAGTATGGCGAAGGCTGAGGTTGTCAGAGGGAACAGCAGCTGTGAAGACCCGAACATGAGAGAGAGTTTGGCATACCTGAAGAACCAACTGAGAACTGTTTGGCCAGCTTGTAGGGATTTTAAAAAGAGGGAAGAGGAGGATGGAATATTTTGAGATGAGGCTGAGTTCTTTTCTCTGAGAACTGCATCTGCATTGAGGTGGTGAGCCCAACAAGTCACGGCTTATCGAATCAGTGGTAGACATGTATCTAAGCTGGATTGATGAGATCGTCTCTCTGTGTGTTTGAAATTAAGAGCTACAGAGCTACCATGTACATTCAGGCACAGGAAAAGAATATAAGAAAAGCAAAGTGAACGGCCATTCCCCTGCCTTGGTCTCCCTGGGATCTTTCTTGGTGGCTTTTCTCCCTCCTGCCTGCTCCTTCTCTGGTTTATCCGTCTCCGGGCATGATAGCTCGGTGTCTCTCAGGCTAACAGTGTGCACTGTTCTTTTCTCGTGTCTCTTCTCTTCCTAGCCAGTTTTGCCTGTGTCCAAGCTTCATCTTCCAACTTATACACTTGTGTGTCAAGAACCTAGACCTCTTCCTCTGACTCCAGACCTGGGTATTTATTGGCATTGGATATTTCTACAGGGGGTACCTCAAACTCAACATGTCCAAGACTGAACTCGTGACATTTACTACAAACCTATCTTCTTTCTCTAGCTTAGCAAAATAAACAAACAAAAATGTTTCATTTCTCTACTGAAAAATCTAGGAATTATTCTTGATGCTCATTCCTGTTACCCATCATCCAACCTTGTTCATTTTACCTTTCTCAAATCTCTCCATTTTCATCTCCACTGACATTTCTCTAATCCAGGTCTTTGTCATTTCTGTCATAGACAACTGCAGTAGACTCTAATTGGCTTCCTGTACCCCTCAGTGCTCCCATTTTAGAAAACAAATCCAATGTTACACTCATCTTTGCCTTCTTGCTTGAAACTGTTAAAAGTCTTCCTTTTATTGCTAGAAGACTAAGATCCTTAAAATGACATTCTGGGCCCCACCTGGTTTGGCTGTTGCCCATGCACCTTTGAAGACTTTCAACCTCACCACTGCCCTTCACTGCTGTGTCCCACAATGATTCTGGAGCATTCTAGAATTTCTTTGGCCACATGACCTTTCATGTGCTTGCTGTCTTTGTTCTGGAACATTCTTTTCCCTTCCCGGCACACTACTTATTTCATTTTTGGTGTTTCAGTTCAAATGTCACTTATTCCAGAAATTTTTTTCCACATTCTGTTCTGGCTCAGGTTTCTTTGTTTTATACAGACTTTTACAGAACTGTGCTCCTCTCATTTAGAGAATTTAAAGTTGGAATTTTATATTAATTAGTATTCATTAGATTTTAGAGACATGGCATGGTTTGTTAAGTTGTAAGTTAAGTGAAAGCAAGGACTGGAAGACAATAAATATTTTGAGGGGGGAAAGTAGGAGGTTGAGAATCTGCCTTAGTTCTTGAATTTATGATTATTTATTCCAGGTACTTATAAGAACTGACTAATTTTCTGCTCGTGGTTCCATGTGATACCCTGTTCTTTATAGTTCCCTACCTTTCTGCATAAGCTGGCTCATTTAGGTCTCTGTTACTTGTAATAAAAAAAAAAATACCCTGGCAAACACAGCAAGTGAGAAACTGAACAAGGTTGAAGCTGAAACATTAATACTGTGTTCTTGAGAATCTGCCTTAGTTCTTGAATTTATGATTATTTATTCCAGGTACTTATAAGAACTGACTAATTTTCTGCTCGTGGTTCCATGTGATACCCTGTTCTTTATAGTTCCCTACCTTTCTGCATAAGCTGGCTCATTTAGGTCTCTGTTACTTAAAATAAAAAAAAAAAAATACCCTGGCAAACACAGCAAGTGAGAAACTGAACAAGGTTGAAGCTGAAACATTAATTTACTGTGTTCTTTTATGAAATCATAAACAGTCTAATGATGATGGTTCTGCAACTTGCTCTTTCTTTTGGGTCTGTAATCTTTTATTCAGAGGATGCTCTGTTTTCTGGGAAGTGCCAGGATGATGTGGCAAGATCTAAAAACAAGAAAGAAAGAAACAAAGAGGAAAGGAAAGGAAAGGAGAAGAGAGGAGAGGAGAAGGGAAGAGGAGAGAGAGAGTGAAAGTCAACACTGGCTTACTTCAATCAGCTCTCCTGGAGACTCTTAGGGCAGGACCGTGGACATAGAAAAGCCTGGTGAACACTGCCCACCCCCAGTAGTGGCTTAGCGCCCTCTTTTCAGGGATGGACTAGTCATTTGTTTTAAGAATCCTGAGGCCTGCACAACTGGGTTCTGGGGTGACTTGTGTGAACTGAAGGAGAGCTTGAACTACACAAAACTACCAAACAATGCAGTGCGCTAGAAAGAGCGTTGGACCTTGGGGTTTCTTCATTTGCGGTAGAAAGGGGAGAACAGGAACTGCTCTGCATATTTCAACTCCGTTGCCGAGAGGACCAAATGAAAGTGAGATTGTGAAAGGACTACAGAAATGTAGAATGTCACCAGAAATGTGTTACATCTTAAGAACTTCAGCAAAAGACACGTAAGCCGTCATTCCTTCCTGAATACTTGCAGAGTGGACTTGAGCGACCAGAGAGGTGGTACTGCACACAGAGAGACAAAAGGGATGCAGCTCTAACCCCTAGGCTTTTTCTCTTAGGAAACCTGATCAGATAAGCTGTGTTCGAGCACCTAGCTCAACCAGCACTCCCTCTACTTGCCTGCAGTGTTCTCCTCAGCGTGTGTCACGTCTGACCCTCTATCTAGATGCTGCCTGCCCGCTTCGTCCCAAGCTAAGCACGTTTGGAGTTTAGGTGAAGGTGGCCCGCACTGTCCTGGGGAGTAGTTAGAGAGAGGAAGAAAACAGCCAATTGACCACCGCAGATGACATTTTGGTCAAAGTAGTGGAGGGAGCTCTGATTACTGGGTAAAAGAAAGCTAAGCTGTTGGTTTGTTAATAGCTAGATCTAGGATTGTCCTAAGTCTTTATCCAGGATAAAACCATCCCCAAAGTTTGTATTTTAACCTGGAGAACTACCCGTAGTCTCGCGCACACCGAGTCCATGTTACCAGAATGACTTTCCCAATACGCAGAGCCGTTCCCGTTGCTGGGTTTGCAGCCCTGTCACGGCTGCTCCGTGCTCTGGGAGTCACCGTGGATCTTCTTCCCAAAGCCTGTCTTTCGGCCAAGATCCATTCCTTTCTGGGCTCTCCTCATCGCTACCCTTCTCTGGCCCCTGGCAACTCCTACTTACATTCACCGTCCTACTGCATACCCCTTCTTCCCAAGTGTTTCTTCTAGGAACCCCCTTTGCACCTTCTGCCTGATCTCTGAACCCAGATCGCTGCCCCCAGACCCCACGTGGAAACCCTCTGGACGTCCTCCTCGATGTCCCCTCCCTGACTCATGGGATCTCCCTAGCAGCCCCATTACTTTCTCCTCTACTGCACACCCCCAGGGCCAAGTACAGTGCTTGGCACCGGGGAGCTGATGCTTGAGAGCCCCCCAAGTCTTTCTCAATCAGAGCTTAGCATCCCCCGCTCCCCCATCAACCCGACACTTACCTTAACTTGCATTTGCTCTTTTATTTCTCTATCTTTGGGAGAAGGCCTTGGTACCAGGGCCCAGCTCTTCCTCGTTTCAACCTGTAGTTGCTTCCAGCTCTTCCCAGGAACTCCACAGTGAATCGTGCCCCACAGGGAAGTGTTAGCCGGTCTCCAAGGTAACAGACCGCACCACTGCAGCTTGGGGCAGGGAAAGCAAAACCTCGCTCATCCCAGGGAAGAAGTTACTACTGCGGGCTGATAACAACCTCTTCCCCATCTCTCTGATTTTCTCCACCCTCACAAAAGCCTGAAAGCGGAATCTGGGGCTCTTTTCTATTTTTAGAACCTCTGGGTCAGCAGAAAACTATGGTTTAGACCAGCAGAGCCCCGGAGCCTGCCACCTTCTGGTGCTAAGAAGGGAAGAAAGACAGCAGAGCCTGCGACTCTTTAGACTCCCCAGGGCAGTGACGGTGAGTCTTCTGGAACTTTCAAGATTCCAAGCAGTGCCATGGGCTCGATACCACTGCCCTCGGGTCTCTTAACACACTGCAGGTTTCCAGTGGTCTCTACCCCCAGGTGCCCATCAGAACACCTGGGTTGTTTGCTAAAAACATAACATCCATTCTCATTGATAGTTTTCTGAGACACGAGGGCCACACTTCCCTCACTCCCTGTGTACACAGTTTCAGTATCTTAAGAAGAAATAAAACTCAACGCTGAAAACATCGTTACTCTTTCTTCACTTGCACTTACCCAACACATATTCTGGATCTTCTGTACCAGACGGACAAAGCAGAGTAGGGCGTTTTCTTATCTTACCCACCCAGAGGAAGGCTGTGTGTGGGTGCTGCCCTCAGGGTGCAGATCACGACTGGCCCAGTCAGTGTAAGGAGTCAGGAGATACCAGGACGTCCCTTCCCTTCCCTTAGGTTCTTGGGATAGGATCAAAGTTAATTTATCCATGACTGGTCTTTAATTAGGAGCTCTCACCTGGTAACATTACAAAAATAAAATATACCTTTCTTTCCTTTATTTCAAACAATGAGCAAGGTTTTGGGGGGATTAAGAAGAAGGGTGAAATCAACAGCTTCCTTCTGCCTTTGTAAAGGCCTGAATTAATTAAAGATCAAAGTGATGTGCCAAAGCAGGGGGCGGGGTGAGGAACATGTTTAATGTCAAGAGGAAAGTGGGATGGTATCAAGATCCTTTCAAATAAAAGAAACTCAACTTGAACTTGTTTAAGGAAAAAATGGGCATTTATTTGCTGAAATAAGAAAATAATTCAAGGATAATTCAGGCTTCGGGCACGGCTTGATCCAGACTAAAATGATGTTAACAGAACGTGGGGTCCATTTCTTAGCTTCCTGTCTTCGGTGGAGGCTTGGTTCTTAGGTAGGTTTTTCAGATGGCAAACTTGCACGTGCGTGGTGCTAAAGTTCCCTCACAGCTTCTAAAGGAAGAACATTTCTTTCCCAAGACTTCCAGCAAAGTCCCAAGCTTGGCTTCTTGAGCACATATCATGCTGATTCTTGAACCACATGATATTACCCTGACTGGCCAGGCCCAGCTTCTGTATCCAACTCTGGAGCCAGAAGGTGAAATCAGCCCCATGAAGCTATATGGATTGAGGTAGGATAGGAGTTTTCCAAAAGAAAAAGTTTAGGTTTATTAGCCAAAGAACAGGACACAGATACTAACTAATATGTCTCTGAGAAGGCAAAGTAGAGGGAGTATTCTTCTACATGAATGGAGATCAAGGAATTAGAGATGTTAAAATCAGAGGGTGTAGCGTTTGGCAGTAACACCTCGGTAAGAGAGTAAGACCTAAGAGTTTCCAGGTCTTTGGTGTGCCCAGAGTCCCCAGGTGTAGGGAATCTCAACTTAGCAAAGTTTATCATGCCCCAAGCACAGGATGGAGCTCCTGCACTGTGCAGCCTTAGTAGTCCTGTTTAGACCGAGGACAAATGACTGGAGTGTCCGTCCTACTGTATGAGCCATGGGCCTCTGCACAACCTAGCATAATTTAATAACCAGTAGGTTTCCTATCCACAGGATGGAAGGAATCTAGTTCATGTTTAAGGGCCATGAGAGGAACATGGGAGGCAGCCTGTTTGGGGAAATTTCCCTAGGTGCTCACTCAGATCCTGAAAAATGTCCTCAAAAAGCAATTTAAGGATGTGTGCCCTGTAAAATACCACTGAACAATGACTGCAAAGAGAAAGCTTGACGTGTGTGAAGAATGATGGAAGATTAAATGCAAACAAGCAAGTTTTTCTCACATGCTTTTTTAGCCTTTCAACAAAGTAGATAATATTCACAAGTTGTTTCTAAATAGGGTCTCTTATGGTCCTTTGCATTCCGTACCAACAAGCAGCAAACCATAGATTTAGCCTCAAGTCTGAGCCAAGGAATCATGCAACTGGGACGAACTATTTTCATTCCTTTAGACTAGCCAAAGTGGCAACATGGGACAGCAGGAGTCCTTGATCTGAAGTCAGGAAACCTAGGTTTAAAAT